TGTTTATTATTTGCATTAGATGTGTCCATCATAGGTTCAATCCCTCTTGGCGGCGCAGGTGTGTAGTGCCTGTCATCACCAGGATAAGCCGTGTCCGCGTCTCTGGCTCTCTCCGCGTACAGAGAGAGCTCTTCCACAACATTGTGTACCCGTACAAAAATCCGAAAACGATGGATCGAAAATTGCCAAGACACGGCGCTTGCAATTGCCGGTCTTCTCTTTGCGTTATATAATATATCCCCGCCCCCGCATGGCCCGATGCCCCCAATACCGCTTTAGAGCCGTTGGGACCTGATATAAACTTTGACGCGGGTTCTTATTTCCGCCTTGGACTGCTTAGTCTCCAAGCTCCCGATCTTGGCATTTGCGTCTTGGTGTGGAGTCAAACTGAGAGGGTCTGAAGGGGAACAATGGGGTCGGTACCAAGTATTCCGGGGTTTATTGAGATGGCCCATTGATTCGGCTGCCATGACTCGGTTCCAGCACCAGGCCTCAGCTCCAGGGACAAGGACATACCGGCATGTTGGGTCGACACAGTCTAAGACGAGCATAAGACGATTAATGGGTAATAGTAAATGGAACATAAACATGGGACATCATCACGAGGCTGAAGAGATTGATGTAAGAGGCCATTTGGATGACCCATCTCAATATAGCCGACAATGACACTACCGCCCCCATCGTTCCAAAATCTCCCTCTTCCTCTCGCTCCTCAACCTCGCCTTGCCAGCATCAACCTTTTCAACCCTCTCCTTCACCTTCTCAACCTCCTGTCCCAAAACGGCGATAGACGCCTCAATCCCCTCATCCACAAGCCTCACATCCCCAAACGGACTCTCGGCCAGCAGGCTATCCCGCAACAACTGGATCGCGAGCTTCGAATCCGCAAGCTGCGTCGCGGCGGTACCCTCCAGCGTCTCCTGTGCATTCCTTGCCACATCGCGGGCTTTCGTCTGCCGCTCGGCCAAGGTAGCGGCTAACACGGCCGTTTGGCCCGCGCCGTCGGTGACGTCTTCGGGGAAGGCGATGGCGAGGGAGCGAAGGAGGGTTTCGAGGGGTGGTTCGTCAAAGGCCGAGGAGCGGCGGCGACGGTTGCTGGCGGCGTCGCGGGTGGGTGATCTTCCCGGGTTTGTGTTGTTGCGGCGGCGGACGGGGGAGACGAGGTCCTGCGTCGGCGTCTTCTTCTTTGGCGTCGCGACTGGAGCGGAGAGTTCTGCGCGGGCCGTGGTGAGGAGGCTTGATGTTGCTGTTTTGTGGGATTGGTAGGCTTCTATGCGGGTGGAGAGACGGTCCATGTGGTCAAGGAGGTAATCTAGGCACTCGTCGATCTGGGCGTGTCAGTACTTGCAATGTTAGTCATGGGGTTGGGTTGAAACTTACGTAGATGACTGCAGCGGCGGAGCGGCGCAGAGACTGTCCGTTCTTGCTCGATAGGGACTTCAGAGCCGGCTCGAGGTGTTGCTGCTCCACCGACATCTGAGCTACGGGAAGGATTTCTGCGTAGAGAGACTCTAGTTCCTCCTGGGAGGTTTTGACGTCGTCTGAAGGGTGTGATGTCACGCCGTTCTGATGGGCGGAGCTAAGTGCTTCGAGGTAGAGTCTATCCAGCTTTGTGCGTACCGTTTCGACGGTGTATTTGATCAATCTACGCCAGGGGTGTAAGTCATGGTGTCTTTGGGAACTGTGGGTGAGGCGAGCGCATACCTCATGCAGATTTCGCGAAGCTTTTCTACGTTTTCACGGTCTTCGGGGTCCTCAGTCTCGAGTTCAAGCCCCAGCTTGCGAAGACTCGAAAGAAGCTTGTCATCGGAGTGAAGCAAGCTATCTAAAGTCTGCTGGAGGCCGTTGCCAGAAACCTTGGTTTGCTGTTCGAGGTCCGACGCCTTGTACTCTAGACTCTGAGACAGCTCCTCAACCTTTGAGTCTCATGTCAGCAAAGTGGCTTCCGGTAACGGGAGCAACACAACTCACCGTGGTCATCATCTTCCTACTCTCAGCATCGTGCTTCTGATTTCGTTGGAAGACGAGATCGGAGCGAGCCTCCTCGACCCTGGAATGGGTCTTGACCAGCTTCGACAGGGCATCCTGCTGCTGCTTCAAGGTCTCGGTCTGCTTGACAATGGCAGCAGTCGACCGGTTGAGCTCCTCAATGGCAGTCTGTATCTCGCGTTCGCTTACAGCTTGAACAGCAGCTAAATCCTGCGACTCAACCAACTTGTCGATCTGACCGGATCTGTCCAGGGCTGTATACCTACCGACCCCATATTGATTAGCCATAGGCACGTAACTGAGCGCGTGATACTCGTGATAGCACTTACAAGGCTAGTTCATCTCTGGACAGCAGATTCTCGGGGCCAAGGTGAAGGCGGGCCCATTCGGTAAAGGCAGTTCCGTGCTCTGGGTCATCGAGGGCTGCCTGAAGGGTGTGTCTGTCAATGGCGATACCGTAGCTTCGTACAATGTTTTCCAGCTTTGAGACATCCATAGCGGCGAGCAGACAACTTAATTGGAAGGTGGCTAGTCCTGAAGGATTTCTTTGAGGTTGTAAGGGTGGTTGAACAGAGGGGGCCAGAAATGGTATGCCCCTCTTTCCGTAGGACTTGGTGTTCAACAACCAACGACTTATGAATTAAGGTGCTGCTGCACGTGGACAGAGTTCCAAATCAACCAAAGACGGAACAAGCCTTTGGGTCTGACTGATGATGCCTGTCGCCCCCGAACTTGACGCGGATTCGAAGAATGGAGAGGAATGAAGGTGTGGCCACGATGGAAAGGTGTGAAGAAACGGGGTCGGAAGTTCGTTTCCTAAAAGGGAACGGCTGTAGCAAGCACACACGGAATGCGGTTGTCCAATGACGGAAGACGGCTGAGGTTTGTGGTTTGGTCCACAGATGGCATGGTAACAGAGGCCAGCGGAGGGGAGACAAAAACGTCTAAAGGTTCCGGGGTATTTTGGCTTCCGTTGGGTGTAGCCAAGTCACGACGTCTTGACGCAGCACACACGGCCGTTGTTGGTGCAAGCGGGCGGTAAAGTCGGAGAGGTTGTGTTGGTATTGTACACAAGAGTGTAGATAGTGAAGCCGTGTCGTCTCGGCTCGGGATGCTATTTTCCTTTTTCCCTTCAGGCTTGGACTCGATTAAAGGGGATGATCCGTTCGTCTGTTCGTATACTATGATATGACAGCCGAGGGCAAATGAAAGACAACTCAAACCGAACAGGTGAGATGAATTGATCAAGGCCAAGAGGAGAACATGAGTGAGAGGTTCATCAAAGTGACGAATGAGTTGAGTGAGTGAGTGAGTGAGTGTCCAATGCAATGAATGAGGTGAGATGAGGTGCAAACAGAAACAAAAGGATGCCCACCGAGAGAGACGGTCGACTAGTCCAAAAACAGATAGACCCCCACCGAAAGCTCAAGCTGACCAACCATATACCGCAGACGAGCAGCCTCCCGTCTGCACGGGCCCTAGAGCGGTCCGTCGACGCCTGCAGCGCCATCCAATATCATGTTGAGTACGTACCTTGCAGCATCGGTGATACGGCCGATAGACTTACACGACATCCCCTTCCCACCACTTCCCTTCAATAACCAACGACCAACAACAAGCTGCCCTGTTCAGCGATCCGTCACTCAATCAAAAGAAGTGTGGGTGAAGGACTGGAGACACGCATCTTGCGGAACAACGGCCACAACCACAGTCCCGGCAGCTTTCCGTCACAGCTCTGTTCAGACATCCCCAAATGGTTCCGGGAGTGTCAAGGAAGACCGGCTTGATCTGTGTCATCTTCAACCTACCCAGTAAGCGACGTCTGTTTTCTGCAAGAAACCATACATCTTTACAGATAATCGTATTGACGTAGGCACACAATCAGCATCTTCAAAGCAGGTCTGACCTATTCTGGATATCGTTTGCAGCACACGCCGCTTTGCCGTCAGTCCGCCCCTCCCCGCCTGGAAGGGTGCAGCTTGCATCTCTCAGGACAGACATCAACAGGGACGGGAGATGGCTTGAGCGTCCCGTTGCATCTTGTCACTTTTGGCATCTGCCACACACACATGCTGTCACTTTTGGCATGAGGGCTATTACCCATCGGATGAGCAGCGAGCCGACCATCGGGCTTCCAGATATGGGCTTCCAGACTTCCGGCACGGTCCGGACGGAGGGGTCATTGGAGGGTCTTCTTCGAAGATATGCAATTAACCCTGCTACGATATCTCGGAAAGCCAATTCAAACAGGCCTGATCGCTTTCCGGTGAAGCCCTGCCGCAAAATGTGATGCATCGACTCAGCATCTCTATCACCAACAGAACGAGATCGATGGACCAACCGCATATCTTGGCCACTCGTACCTCGGACTCTTGGATCCGTTCCACACTAGCAACAAAAACATCTTTGGGATGATTCTGCTTTCTCCCATTTGTTCAGAGTTGCTGGACTTGCCACTAGGACCCGTCGACAAGGACGCTTCCGGGCCTATCGTGTGTTCATCCAGCGTTTGTGAAGCCATCCACAACCATGGAATACCGGGTGGGCCCTGCACACTTCACCTTCCGCCGGACCCCATCCACCTTCATGTTCACCTTCAACTTCACCTTCTGACTTCTCCTCTTGGACCCCACTCGCTCTTCATTCACTAGAATGGGGAATGGGGGCCGACTTCGTATTCTAGTACCCGTTCCGTGGCGAACCCGAAGACTGTCTTTCGTCGAGCTTCCCATACTGTTTTCTTCCCTTCTTCGTGGATTTATACCGCTCGTGTACGACACTGGATGACGGGAACTGGGAAGCAAGAGCCTCTTTGTGCTTCCCTGTTTCTTTACCAACTGCGGCCTTGTTTTCCACCTCGTTTTACTCGTGGATCTGATCGCATTTGCTACTTGGGACTTCACCCTAGGGTAAAGTCAGAATCAAATCACTCTTGGACATATTGTCACACAACACCCTCCTGTTCACCCTGGGACCCGTCTCGTCTCGTCCTCCCCCCCCTCTACCACGACATGTTTACAAGAACCTCTGCTCGCTTCGAGCTTCTCTCCCAGATCCTCCAATGTCTCAGACTCAAACTCAGACATTTGACAGACAATGTTCCCAGAGTCCGTTTGCCATTGCGAATGTTCAGGAGAGATACCGAAGAAAACAGCACCGACAGATGGGAACATTGCACCCGCCTCATACGCCAGCGGATGCGTGATATCTTCTGGGTCGGGGTGATTTACCTCGCTAGCGAATTGCTCATATGGAGTCTCTTCCTGGGTCTGTACGAAGTCCGACTTGACTACCTGTCACCCATCATTGGCATGGTTGTGGTGTTCTGTTTCATGTTCGCGATTTCATACCTTTGTCCGGAGTCAGAAAGCTTCTACCACCGCCACATCAAGTACAAGGTTTGTCCTTCACCTTTGTTCTCACCTCACCACTGTTCGTAAGTACTAACCTGGCCAGGTCGACTTCATCAATAGCAACTTGGGCATTGGCTTTCCGGTGCCCATCGTCATGATTACTAAGGATAGACTGCTTGGCGGTAAGGGCATTGGAAGGGTAATTGGAAACTTTGGTGAGTTCACCTTGACACCAAAAAGTAATCTTTAACATTTCCAGACTGACAGACAAAGTGAACACCAACGTCGTCTTTTGGGTATTGATCTTCCTGCTTTCTTGGGGCATCCTTGCCGGGATACTCAGAATTCCAGCCTTTTCCCTTCGCGAATCTGAAAAGAGAAGCGACGATGACACCGAAGTCGACCAACCATGGCAGTCTGGCGGGCAAGACACTCCCATACCACGCATCCAGATACCTCCTCCAACCCTCAGCCGCAGGCCCTCCGAGTCAACGACCCTACACGGAACCACGATCAACGGATACCATACCGATAAGGAAGCGGGACTGGGTCCAGATTCGAGGACCGTCTCGGCTTACTTCACCGATAGTGACTGTCCGACCCCTGTCCCACCTCCGAGCCCACTGGGCCACTATCAAGATCGGACATCGCTTTCCAGCTCGCGGCAGCCCCAAGTCTCGAGCGGAGAGGGTACCCAAAGGTTTAGCTGGTTCAAGGAGTGCTACCCAATCGTTCTATCAATCTTGCTCCTACTCACCGTAGGCATCCCTGTCTCGTATGCCCTAGGCGATGACCGCATCCTCGATGGGTGCATGCTGTGGTTCACCTGGATCAGCAGCACAAGACTGCAGCGCAATTTTGGACGCAGCGACATCCTCTCCAGCGTACAAGGGCTCAAGATGACTATCACGACACTGCTTAACCCGGTCCTCCTAATGACCCTCGGCATGATAGCCTACACTCGTGCCAAAGCCGCTGCCACGGGCACGCCCATTAATGAAACGATGTCCCAATTCTCGCGCGGTAGGACTCTCTCCCTCATCTGGACCTCAAAGGTGTCGGGATCTTACCTCACGAGCGACTGGTTCGGTGCCGGCGACGCGGCCATCTCGATCCTTGAGGTCGGCTTCGTTGTCTGGGGATTCAAGCTTTACGAGTGTCGGAAGCAAATATGGTCTCGCGCCGGCGCAGCCGTGGTTATTCTTTCGACCGTCTTTGCGGCACTCAACGTCTTTGTGTCCGTCCTGCTCGGCAGAGCGGTTGATCTCGGACCTCGTGAGGCGCTCTCCTTTGCAGCGCGCTGCACAACGCTGGCACTGGCGCGACCTGCGATAGAGGCGGTCTATGGGAACGATGTCGTCACCGCGGCACTGGTGGTGAGCAACGGCATATTGGGACAGCTGATGTACCCGTCCATGCTGAGGAAGCTGGGATTTGACTCAGCTAGAGAGTCGCACATTGACGTGGACGAAGAAGAAGATGAGAGACCGAGAGACGATGCGCTTACCATTGGGGTAGGGACGGCGATTGGCATCAACGGCGCGGCCATGGGCGTCTCATATCTCTATGAGAGGAAGAGCCGGGCTGCGCCTTATGCTGCTCTCTCGATGACCGTGTTTGGGATCTTTACTGTCGTCTTCAGTGCGGTCGAACCGTTTACGACTACCTTGATGAAGCTTGCCGGCATGGGACCGGACAGAGTCCCATATGGTGAGGTATCTTGAGGTCCCTGAGGGTAGTTTGGCGCATGAAATCGGCGACCCGGAGCATGAAAGGCGGCGCTCTGTTTAATGTACGCAGCATAGCATAGCATGATTGTTCCATAGAAAAAGGGGCGGAGGGAGGCAAATTGTACTTGTGAGCTCGTGGGCTCTCTTCAGAAGCGCATTTGGTATTTTTTGATATACAGTTATGCCAGTGGCAAGCGCGTGATAGAAAACAATTTTGCAAAACAAATGTCATAAACGTCTGGCTGGCTCAGCTGGGCCAGCCGTGTCATGTCCACCGGCACTGAGCACTGGTTGACCTTTTTTTTTTCCCTCCTTCTGTGAACCCCCTGCCTGCTTACACGCGCATGATGCTGTTCGTCTCTACTCCGTCTCATTTACTCCAGTCTGTGATCCGGGTGGTTAGTGGAACTGTAAGTGGAATAGGGGGTTGCCAAAAGCAACAAGACTCGAATCACTCACCTCTCAATCAAGTGCAGGCCGCTCGCCGTCTCCACGACGCCGCTGATGTCACCGGGGTTAAGACCAAAGGCAGCTTCTTCAAACTCCCGTTGCATGTCACCCTTGCCGAAGTAGCCCAAGTCACCCCTCTTACGGGCACTGCTGCAGTCGGACTCGGTCAGGGCCAGCTCGCCGAGCGTGGTGGAACCGGACTTGATCTTGGCCTCGTGAGCCTTGATGATCTCGAGTGCGTCCTCCTTGGTGCGGGAAATTTCGGCCTATTTTGACAGGCGTTGTTAGCTGTCTGTACTCTGAAAACTGAAAACATTTCGGTAGGGGGTTTGCGTACCTCTCTCCAGCTGGAAGGGCGCCGGCTGTCTTTGTGCTTGACCAGCAGGTGGGCAGCGCGGATCTTTCCCTCTGGCACAGGAACAGCCTGGGATCTTGCGCCGGCGCCAGCGCTGTGATGGGTGGCCATGTAGTGCTTCAGCTTCTCGGTGTCGGTTCCCGCAGGCGGCTCCCAGCGTGAGACCTTTTCGGCGGCATTGAAGTAGTAGGGCAGGTTCTTGGAGTTGGAGTGTCGCACTTCCCAGCCGGGGGGGAGACCGGTGTCAGCCTGGTGAGGATTTGTATTAGTCGTCTGCTAAGAATGGTATTGTCTTGGTTGGTAAGCCGCCGCCGCCAGGCTCTGTGGGAGGCGCAGAGTAAGGTCAACAGCAGAGCATGCGACGGCCCGGAGACGAGGCTGCGCGATAATGGGTGAAGCTGTGCACAAAGGAATCGAGCGGGGTCGGGTGTCGAGGGTGCAGAGAGGGAAAAGGCTCTGCTCCGGATACGAGATGTATCACTGCTTACTCACCATTGTTGCGCGTGAGTTTGTTTACGGGAGAGACGAGAAGAAGCTGTTGCGATAGCTGCGGGGAACGAAACTTCAACGGCGGGAGAAGTTGGTGCAAGGAACGAAGCTGTCGTGGAGTAAGGTACTGAGGTGTAAGAAACGTGGAGTTGGCAGAATAAGGAAGAGGAAGAGCAGCACGACGATGGAGGCGAGGAGGGTGGGCGTCGAGGTACAAATGTACTCGGAAAGGCAAGGTATACCGGGTAACGTAAAGGTACCTACGGCAGCCGAACGGAGGAGACAATGCCAAGGTACTCCGTAAGGTAAGGTAAAGTAAGGTGAAGTACCTAGGCAATAGAAGGTAAAGGCAAGGTGCAGCTGGGGAAGAGCTGGGGTTTTGGCGATGCACCTAGCCAACGCAACTGGACGGGGGGAGGTTCTTCAGCTTGGCTCGAATGGATTGGGTGAGAGAGAGGATGACGTGCGGCTGCTGGGGTAACCACCAACGAGGCCTTGCTTCTACATAGGTATGCTGGGTGCGAACCTAGGTAATGGGGGGCCACAGCGGGAAGGAGGGGGAGCAAAAAGGCGCAAAAAAGTCAAGGTACGAGTCACAATGGTGGGTTACCTAAGCCACCAGGAATATCTTCCATGCCACTTGAACAATGGATATCCGCTGTCGACGAGCGTTAGTGGGGAGTGGGGGGAGGGCTACGGGGGACCTGGTGACCTCTGACAGGGAACCAGGCCGGATAGGGACCTACTACGGAGTACGTACCTTAGAATTGGACTCGTGGACGCCGGGGCGGGAGCCATCAAAAAAGTTGTGTCCCTGAAAGGCGGGGAACAGGGCGCTGGAGGGGGAAGCTGATCATCCCCCCCAGCGCATCGAAACTTGTGCCCTTATTGGTTCCCTTCTGTTCCAGTTCCTGTCAAATCACGTGTAGCTATGGTCCCGTGCTCGTCTTGGTCAGCTTACAGAGTTTCACCTACCAGACCTTCTCTCCCGACCTTGGACGGGAAACTCGTCACACGTCTTATTCGATGCAAGGGTTTCCCGTCCCAGGCCTGTCGATCCATCTTATCAAGCCGCAGTCTATCAGGTTTTCCTCGAGGGAAAGGAGAAATGGAGAATTGAAGAGATGTCATTCGTGAGATTTAAAAGTCTCAGGTTAGGCTAAGCGACAGTTGAGCCTTAATTTTCGACCAGCAACGAGTGCCCTCATCTGGATTTAGAGCTTCTAAACGAGGCCTCCCCCCATTGCCTGAAATATCTTCGGCCTCATCGAAAAGTCCAGTGAGAAAAGTGATTAGCAACATGTCCAAACCTGTTTTAAGTTGCTCCGTGATAGGCCGACGTTGGCTCATCCTCAACGCTGCCTGCTATCAGTAGGTCTCGCGGTACCATGTGTGTACCGTTCTTCTCGTTGAGGCCCTGTAGATCTCGACTTTGCTATACGTGAGAACCTACTCCTAGCTGCAACATGTTGTATAAAGATGAATGAAATTCTACAATTCAAGACGATTTATGGGGTACAGATAGTTCAGACATAGACATGATAACCTCAGATAGGGTAGCAAATGACCGGAACGCAAGCTTCCTTGTGAAAGCTTGCCTTGGGGGAGCTGGTCTTTGGCCCATCTTGATTCGAAGTAGTTCAGTACACTCGTAATCGAGTCCTAGTCTCTCAAACACCAAATACCAAGTAATTAGGTCATAAGAAGTTGGCATAGCCCTATTAGTCACAAGTTGTGGCGGCCTCACTTCACTGATATTACATTACAGTCAGGTTGGCATCTCGGATGAACAATGGAAGTAACTCACCGAAACACGTCTCGGTGAACCAGTGACCATAGCTCACCGAAATTCCATTCCGCTCTGATTCACCGCCGCGGCCCCACCTTGCGCCTCCCGCACTGCAAAAAGGAACGTGCGCCTTTCTCCATCAGGTTCCTTTCGATTATTTGCGCCGCACTTCGCTTTTCCGCCTTCTGCCTGAACCTCAACATTGCACACCGCTGCCCGACTTTCAATAACGCGCTCAACAACCCGATCTTGGTCTGTAGACTTACGCGACGACGATCCTGCGAAACTACTAAACTCCCTTTGATTAATCAACTCATTCCCCGACGCACAAGAATCGCTACGCGACCGACACCACGATGGCGACCCCCATGAGCACAAACTCCCAAGACGACGGCGCGAACAAGAAGCTTGAGCAGATTACCTTTCGCTTTTGCTCCGAATGCTCCAACATGCTCTACCCCAAGGAGGACGAAGAGACTCACCGCCTCCAATTCACCTGCCGAACCTGCCAGTTTACCGAGGAGGCTCAGTCCACCTGCGTCTTCCGCAACGTCATGAACAACGCCGCCGGTGAGACCGCCGGTGTCACACAGGATGTCGGTTCGGATCCTACTGTAGGTGATCCCCAGTCTGTTCTTGCCCCTGTTGTATGCATCGGCTGCGGCCACGCCATCCTTTGCAGCGGCTGCGGTAATCCGTCCGACGACTTCAACGTCTCAGCGGCCCCTACCCACCAGTACGACGGTCCCCAGAGCAAGAAGACGGAGATCACATGGGACGACCTGATGGACATGGCCGAAGACGAGGCCCTCGACGAGTACGACGAAGAAAAGGAATCGGTCACTTCCGACGAGATCAACTACGGGTTCGCGGGCATCGCACTCAACAATGAGCCTGACTCCGCCAACCGCAAAGTCTCGTGGCCTACCTTTCAGCTGGCTGTCAGCCAGTGAAGAGCGATTCCGCCACGCGTTACCACACGACATATTCCTGGATGATATCCCCTGGACCTGGCTCTTGCAATGGGATTTTGGCTTTCACCTTGGGCACGAGACCTCCCTCATGATCAGCTGGCTGACGCTGCATCTTTCCCGGATCTAGCTTCCACGATCAAACAAGGAATGCCCCGTCTGCAAGGCTGGCGAAGCCGTCTTCTTCCAGTCCCAGCAGCGAAGTGCCGAGACGGGCATGGTTAGTACAACCCGCGTCTTTCTTATTTCTCAGCATCCTTTCAGATGTTCCGAAGGCTAACGCGTTCTCGTGCAGAAATTGTTCTATGTCTGCTGCGATTGCGGTCACATCTTCCAGTAAAAGAGACGACCGTTTGAAGATACCCTAGGATTGTTCGAGAGGAGGTTATCATGCATTGTAAGGAGTATTCTGGCGTTCGAGCTCTCGATTGGGGGAAAAAGGCTATCGGGCGGCCACGGTTTTTGTCTTGAGATATCATACAGACCATTGAATTACATTTACCTCAATGGCAATCACTATTCTGCGCCATTGCGACCTATCTCAAAGTGACCTTTGACTTGTGACTAGACTCATCTCGACTTTCTGAATGTTTTTGTATTTGATGGAGATTGGTATCGACTGCCAACCCTGGAAACGCCGGCTCATGCATTCGTATAATACACTTCCCCCAATCTGACGACTCTTTTCTCCTATACTTTTACAAAGATCCTACACGTCTTTCTTGTTGTACCTGCTCCTCCCTCGTCCCATCGCCGTTTCCTTTATGCGTGCATGGGCGCCATGGAAAGGATCTTGCTCCACTTCTTCCTCCTCAGCTCAGCACCAACGACGCCGTTGATGCGAGAGCCAACGGGGTCGCCGGCCTTGTTGATGAGAACGCAGGCGTTGTCGTCGAACCGAATTACACTACCGTCGGGGCGGAGAGTCTTTTGCTTGGTGCGGACAACGACGGCATGGCGCATGTCACCGCGCTTGACCTTGTTGGCGGCTGATGAGCCGGCCATGCCACCCTCGCTGGCACCTCTGTGCTTCTGAACCACGACGACGATTCTGTCACCTGCGATTGTATATGTGTTAGTCTCGGTATCGAATCGCGTGAGGTGAGGGGCGTTCGGAAGTGGGCGACAGGATCGTACCGATGCGGGCGAGCTTCTTCTGGCCGACAACCATGGCGCATTCGACCATGGCAGCACCTGAGTTGTCGATGCATTGCAGCACCGTCTGAGTGCGCGTTAGCGTGCTGATTCAATGTTCGCGAATCAAAGAAGATGACATACCTTTAGTTGAATCATTTTGGCGGCGGGACCTCGTGGTAGGCTGTGGTATATCGAATCTCCCCTGGCTGGCCACTGGCTCTATGAAGCTATCTCGAAAAGGTGGGACTGCAAAGTTGAATTCCACGTCGGAACAACGGGCTGATGTAGATCCGGTAGCCCAGAATCGTGGACCAGTGAAGTGGACCTCAAGACCCACTTCAAGAGCTGCATGTTGTCCCGTTGCTGCGGGCAGGCCTCTGACAGCCAAAAGAGGTTAGCTACATATGTATGAGCGCATCTCATTGGCTGACGTAGCCGGTCAAAACTTGGTCTGTGCGACTATTTTGACGTCTCAGTGCTCACTTGGGGCCACTTCAACGATAATTGCCTAGCCACTGTGTTTTGTAACTTTTGATTGGCCATCAAACCCCCCGGTAAGGCGCAATCCAATGTTTCCCTTCCTTTCTTGCTTCCCTCCCTCTTTCCCGTTCTGCGTCTCTGTCTGGCTGGTCTGTCTGCTCCCCTGGAAAGCTGGAAAGGAAGGAAGGAACCTGGAATCTGGAATTTGTTCCATTGGGACTTGCTGTCAATACCTCCCGAAAGTACGGAGTGCTCTGAGTCGGATCCGAACGAATTGAGACTGAGTTTGTGCAGGAGAGTAAGAGAGGGAAGGAACCACCCGAAGCAACCAACTTTCCACCCGGCAAGAGCGAATTAAAATTGGGACAAGACGGCGACTTCCATTGCTGTTTCCTGCTCATCTTGAGTTCAGGTCTCTTGACGTCCAGCCTCACACACACACACACACCTCACCTCACTACATCCCACATCCCACCTCCCACCTCAACCTATCCACATCCACTTATTTGTCTCATTTCCCTCCTCATTCTCATCTCTTTATCCGCTCCATCGTCCGTTGTCCGACGTCTTTGTTACCCACAGAGCCTCCCTTCCGGTACTTGTGGATGAAGCTATTTTGATTCCTACATTCATTCCTTGAGCATTCATCGACAGGAGGGTCCACGACTTGTTTGTTCTTCTTTCAGATCCTACCGTACCGAGTATGATCCACGACGGCCCTGCGCATTAATCTCCACAACCACCCGCCTGCCCTGACCAGCCTGTCCTCGTTGGCTTGTTTATGCCCCCTTTGGACTTTGGACCGGAAGACATGACGACACCCACCCTGAGCTGACCCTTCTCTCATCTTTTTGCGCCTTTTTGGACACAACAACCTTCTTCCCGGTCTCACCCACATCTGTTTCTGGTCCCTATCCTTAGCGGCCGACTTGCGACAATCGTGGCCCAGCTGTCACTCCCCCACATCATTTGCTGCGCTTGACCTTGGGCTGTCGAAGGGAGCCCGACCTCACATTTGGTCCTTCGTCCACTCCTTGCTCTGTGCGCTGACGCTGGTCCCTCGACGCTCGTTTAGCCTTCCCCGACCTCGCCTCGGGCTCGCTCCTTCCAACTTGCGCCACCGACGACAACTGCGACGTCCGTCAACGCTCATCCGTATCTCACGATGCCGCCCTCTGCTGCTACGGCAAAGAAGCAGAAGAATAAGCAGACGCTGACATTGGCGCAACTGGCATCGTACGATGATTTCCTGACTGATGCTCTAGTCGATCATGTATGGGTTTCGGTTCCGCCGGGCAGCCATGCCTCGGACATTTGGGGGCTGAAGAAGCTGACACTTTGCAGGTTTTCTACTGGACTACGATTCCCAAGAACAGAAACTCCTATCATCCTTCGCGAGGTGTGCGGGAGGAGGACATTACCCAAATCATCCGCGACGAGCTCGCTGTCAGCAAAGACCTCGAATCCGCCGAGCGCAAGTTGCTAGCTACCGATGGCTTCCGCAAGTTCTTCGCCGCCCTCAAGACGGACAAATCCAAGGATGACTTCAAGCGTCATATGCGCCGCTATGTCCAGATTTACCTTCCCGACTGCCCATTTGAGGTGAACTCGACGAACCGCTACACGATTGTTTCGCACGAAGCCGCCATCACGGCCCGACGCTTTATACGGCGAAACGAGACGATCAAGTACTTGGCCGGAACGCAGGTCAACATTTCACCCGAGGAGGAGCGAGAAATGACGGCCCGGAAGAAGGATTTTAGCATCATTATTTCCGCCAGGAACAAATGCGCCAGCCTGTTCATGGGCCCTGCCCGATTTGCGAACCACGACTGCAGAGCTAATGCGAAGCTCATGACTACGTCTTCAGCCACGATTGAGATCATTGCGACGAGGAACATCGATGTTGGCGAAGAGATTACCGTTACATATGCCGAGAACTACTTCGGGGAGGACAACTGCGAATGTCTATGCAGAACATGCGAAGACAGATGTGCAAACGGTTGGGCACCGGCAGAAGGAGAAGTTGTGGTTAAGAAAAGCATCGAGGAGTCCGCTTTGGACGGATACTCTTTGCGGCGGAGGAGAAGGGACGATAGCGTCGGCCCGTCGTCTCGAACACCTTCTGTCACGCCAGACATCCGGCCACGAGTGTCTAAATCACGGCTCAGGAGCGGGAAATCTGGCCGAGATTCTCTAGCAGTCGACTCACCAATGTCAGATGCTCTTTCACCAGAAAAGAAGCAGTCTTTCGATTCACTCGTCACACCGCCCATCACGCCATCCAAAAGACGAAAAATCTCGGCTACGCAAGCAGCCAAAGCCCGTCAGGAAGCTATTGTCACGTCAACAGAGAGCTCAGCCTCCGAGTCTGTGCGCAGCATGTCATTGACCAGTAGCGGAAACGAAGACGGGTCGGTGACGGACATTACTGAGCCGGAGAAAGACTCCCCGGAACCGGGCCAACGTCAGAAGCATTCAGAGCTTGTCAAGAAAGAGGAGTATGAGGAGACCACGGAGCAAGCACTGGCCAAGGCGGCGCCATACTCGTCGCAAAGAAGGGGCCAAAAGGAAATGCCAGACACCAGTCGAGCTGGATCTGTTGTTGTCTCCCGGTCAATCCCCATCTCGTCCTTGTGCAATCCTCCGTCACCGCCTTCTAAAACCTCGGGTTCAAACCCTCCAGAATGGCTATACCCGGCGAGCGTCCCTTCGTACAAGATCCAGGATCGTATGAGTATCGCAGCTGCTATGTGCAGCAGCGTGAGCACGAAGTCAGTGGCAATGTCATCAACAGGCGCATCAAAAAGCTCTAGCACGAGCAGTTTGAAGCTGACACAAAACGTTGCTAAATCCCTCTCAACAAAAGAGTCGCTCGGAAGCTCTCGTCGTGAGGCCGTGGTGAAAACGTCAAAGGTTGAGGCTCTTGCGTCAATAGAGCAAGACGAGTTGGGCGATCGCAGCTCCGTCACCGTGCTGACTGCAAAGGTCGAAGCACCGGTATCGACAGAAAATCCTGCGCCGATCACTGACAGTATCAAAGTCTGTGCAAAGGTTGCTGAGACGGTGGAGAGCGGTGGTGACCAGCCACCTCTGAAGAAGCGCAAGTATCAGCGGCGCACCTTTATCAAGGAGACCACACCACCCGCAAAGACCCGAACGCCCGGCGACTATACTCTAACGCCGCTGTTGCTATCAGAGCCGCAGACGGCATGGGTTCGCTGCATGAATTGCGAGACAGCATTTGTGCAGCAAAATGCGTACTACACCAAGAGTTCGTGCCCGCGCTGCGAACGCCACTCTAAGCTCTATGGTTACATTTGGCCGAAGACTGAGAGGGCCGGGCCTCAAGATAAGGAGCAGCGCATCTTGGACCACCGCCTTATCCACCGGTTCCTGGGGCGCGACGAGGAGGCGCGTATCCGGGGACGAAAGCGACCCGCAGCGAGCACATCGGAGACACTCGAAGATTGCGCGGGGAGTAGGCTTGGAAACAAGCGCCTCAGAGCCGCGGGTGAAGAATCCGAGGAAGGCGAAGATACGAGCGGGTTAAGACGGAGTGGTCGAATGCGCAAGGCTAGCATCAAGGTGGCAGAGCCGTAGGGGAGGCGAGGCGCGAAGCAGCCAACCGGAGCGGTCCGGGACCCAGCCGGAGAGAAACTCTCCCCAGTCCGGGGCTCCAAAGGCTCCCACCGTGGCTTTTCCTTGAACGCAGAAACGAACGACGGGGATTTATAATTGGAACATGGGGAAACATGAGGTGGAAAAGGCGTATGTCTTGTGTTTCATTGCGACAGCACAATTTCTGGCTTGGGATTTTGGTCAGGTCTTTTTTTTTTTTTCTCTTTCTCCCCCAGGTTTTATTTTCCTGCTATGCATGCATAATGGCATGTACGCATGTGTGGTACATAGTAGATACCATAGCTCCTCGCCTTGCATACTACTGTCCGTCTGCAGGGTCGCAGACGATGCACAGGGGACTTTTCCATCCTTCCCCCCTTTCGATTCTGGCGTGGTGTTGAGAGACAACATTCCAGCCGACTGTCTTGGCTGGTAAGGTACTTTAGATAAGGAGGAATTGGATGCACACACACACACAGAGAGACACAGAGCTATATACAAGGGACCTGAGGGGAATGTCCATTGAGCCGGAGAGGCGAAAGAAAGAATTGATGAGAGAGAGGGTAATCTACTTCTTCAAGACGAGGACATATTTCTCTACGTGCCGCCGCTTGCTGCTTTCTCAATTTTCCTTGAACTTTCTTGCCTGTGTAAGGAAAGGTATTGTTTGTTTTTGTTCTCCCCCTTGCCTTTTCCCCAACCGTCGTCGGATTCGGACATTCAGCTTATCGAGCAGCCCTCAGCGCGTACCTCATGCGAGTTTGCTTACTTGCGTTGCTGCATATCTTTTGCTGATGGTTTCGGTCGGCGACCGAAAGCGACTTCTCTCACCAAAAGCAAAGACGTGGGATTCGACCTTGGATTTCGGTGGCATAAACACATATTCATACATACCTTTGAGCTACCTTGGGCACACCACTACCTTGTCCATTCATCTTCCTCCTCCTCGACAGATAAACGACGACTTACACCGACCGCTGCGACCATCACCTCAACCACACCTCAATCACACCTCTCAGAGCTCTTCTTCCCCGCCGCCTTGGAACAACCTGCATAAAAACTGTGTCGTCGCGAACGGTGCGTCGCTAGCAACCTGCGCTAAGGCAAGCAAACGCTATCCCAGGACCTAGGAAGCTTTGCCTTTTCCTTTCCCTGCTCATTCTGCCCTGCTTGTCATAAAGCTCGAGCACACCTCACTACCTATCCTTAGCTCGGGTCCTATCGCTTGCTCGCAGCTCACCACCGCTCACCACCCATCACTCACCGACTTATATCTTGGGCCCCTTACCTGCCTACTATTAAGTTTCCTCTCGGAACCGTTTCCCAAGAAACCGAGCCAAGGTTCTCCTATCTTTTGGATTTACATCCTTTTATCTTGGCACCCCTCGTCCCATCCAACCCTTCTTCGCACTTTATCACCAAGTGTATGTTAAAGGGGAGGGGCATCCGCTATTCAGCATGTCAACGGAAACGTTTACACAAAAGACCATGATGAGTGCCGGCCTCCCAGGGCCGCACAACTATCTCGACTACCAACACCAACAACAACATTACCTATACAACCCGGCACCAAGGCTCTCCGCCCTCGCCTCTCCTCACCTTTCCTCCCGGGGCCAGACTAAGCAAGCCAAAAGGCGGTCGCTGACGGCGGCCCGGCAACAACCACGACAACCACAGCCACAGGCTTTGCATCCCCTGACAACACTGCTGGCCGTGATATTCGACTTCTTTCTGCGAGGCATCCTGGATCTCACGAGGCCGCCGAGGGAGCTCGTCAAGCTCACCGTCATGGGCATTTTCGACACGCTGTGCTGGGCATATCACGCACTGCCAATGCCGCTCGCGCTCGGTCTTCTCTACTATGGGTTCCAGAGCGTCCCGGACGCGCTGCACGGCGTTGAGGAGCTGCGGGTGGTTTACAGCACGAGGCTGGGCGGCGACGCATTCCCCGGGAACGCGTCCGGCGTGGAGGGTCTCTACGGGCTGGGCGAGATGGCTCTGGTGCGATGGGGTGATTTGGGGGTCTGGTCGGTAAGTTGCATCTTACACTCTTTTCGTTTTTGACATCGTTTTCCTCTATCCCTCCATCTGCTTGGATGATTGATGGTTTTGGTTATTCTTCATCTTTGCATCATTCTCCAAGATTGTGGGCGTTATACAAAACATCAAGAGTGTCGAGACTGATGTTTCCTTGGTTCAGGCGTTTTACTGTCTCGCTTTGATGACGGCAGCGTATGCGGTCATGGTCCTCTTGGAGATGCGCGACTACATCCGCGACACCTGGGCTCTTATTGTGGACGAGGCTCTCGAGGTCCAGGCGTTGCGGGCGGACGATTGCTAGTCGACGCCTCCGGAATTTCGGAAAGGGTGACTTAGTCCTCTTTTCGCCTCGCTTTTTCACGCTTCTTCCCCGTATGTGGACCTTTCTGGACCCTTTTTGGGGGCAATCGGATTTCCATCCTACCCTATGGTCGCGGGGTCGGTATTCGGCGTTGGTTGCTAGTCGTTATTTCTGTCTTTTTATGTTCGCTGGGGGCGAGAGATGAAAATGTGTGAGAGTGAGAGAAACGGCGGTCGGACTTTTGGAGATCTTCATTCCCCGAATCCTGGCTTTCACTCTCATTCGTCATTCTCACTCTCACCTTCACTCTCTCGCTCTCATTGTCATCTCATTCAATGGGATCAGCAGGCGTCGACCGGTACAAAAGTTCAAACGGCCAAAAATGGGTATTTGTGCACAGGCGCTTTGGGCAAGAGTTCCGCATCTCTTGGCGCGGATTTCAATGCTCCGTGTCTTCGGATGACGAAAAATGAGGAGTTTTGCTTTGGGTTTGGTCTTGGAAAGGAAGAAACGCAACGAGATTGCGGAGGGAACATCGGGATACAGTGAGACTGAACTTAGAAAGCGCCCGATGCAGAAACTGTCGCAGTCGCAGTCACAGTCGCAGTCGCGGTCGGCTGGCATCGGTGGACGCCTCATGATGATGATACTACAATACCTAATAATGAACAAGACTGTTGTCTGTCCTGCACTCTCGCTCTCCTACCCCATCCGTTGAGATGGCTGGAAGTAGGGTGTGGGCAGCATCAGATTTCGAGATGAACTCGATCTCAGCTCAACCATCCTTTCCCATCCTTCCAATTCGCTCCTCTGACTGATGCAAACCAACCACTCAGCTCCGAGTCCCGTTATCATGATTCCAGATCCCCCCGACTCGGCAATATAATTCGAGGTGCACTTTTGCTCTGTTGTTGGAGCACTCATTGGACACATTTCTTTGCCCTGCTGCAGCCAACAGGCCACCCACACGCCCAATCATTGGGCGCCACAACCATTCCCTGCTCTGCTCGCTGCATCTTCTCTCCATGTCTCTCGCTTCCTCTTCATCAGTTCACCAGTCTCGGTGTCTCGGCCACCCTCTTACATTGAAGCTCCGATCCCTTGTCTCCTTGCTGACGAGCTGCCTTTTCCCATTCCCCGCATTCCTGGACTAATCAGACACTCAAGATACCAACAGCAAACACGGACAGGGGTGGGCCGCAGTCAGCCTTTGCGGCAGAGACAGGATGGGGGTTACATGTTCGTTTCCTCTCTCTCACAGAACTCCGGCCGACTGAATCGGACCTCCACTCCACGGTCTGGGTTCCGCCCTACCACAAGCCACCCACCCTCTTCCCCCCGTGGCCCCCGTTCCAGCCGTCTCGAAACGGAGAACCATCTTTGGCGAATTGAGTCAACCACCCCAACTTTCTGGCATACCCTTTCTCGAATCTTTACCAATCAGAGGTCGCCCTGGCACAGACGATCAGGCTGGCTGGACTGCTGTTGGACCTTGGATGCCCGATTCTCCTGTTACTACCACGTGTCGTGCTGGGCAGCTGAGGCAGAAGTGCACGAATAGAGCAGAATTGAACCATTTTCCAGCCCTTCGTTAGTTAAAGTAGGGGGACCTACTTCGGAGAGCTCTTTCTCGGCCGTAAACGATCTACGTCCCATCATACTCGCCATACGTTCGGAGTTGCTGGGATGACCGTAGGGCCGCCCGCGACCGTTGGAGATTCTTGTTATAAGGTGGCATGTCAGACCCAACTCTACCTGCCAACCAACTCCGGAGTTCGCGAGCCTCATCCTTCTATGCTGACGATGAGATTCCTTCTGGGACATGCCTGACCTTGCTTGAACCCCGCGATTCATGTTTGCATTCGGAACTTTTTATTCCTTACGCTGCCTTCCGGAAAGTCTCTGGACACTCTTCCTCTTTTGATCTTTCTACTTTCCCCTTTATACACGTAGTCGTACCCCGACATTCTTCATCCGCTGATTGCCGCGCGTGGGGTGATTGAACACCAAGGGAACGTGAAACAACAACAGCGCTTACCGTCTACGCCCGCGATCCGATCGACGACTAGCTCCCAAGGGGTTGATATCTTATCAGGAACAGCAAACAGAGGAGAAACTTTGGCTTGGACCTAAGTCGAAATGTTGAGAATGTTTTCCGGCATGAATGGGCTTGGGGGTTCGCTTTTGGTTGTCATTGTGCTCATGGCTCTGGTCTTTGCCGCATCCAGGTTCGACTTTGTAAGTGTTTCACTCTTGGGCGTGGTCAAGTGGTGCAGCAGGAGCAGCACCACCACCACCACCACCACACCTTCGGATAGCAGCGGTCCTAATCGGCTTATACAGATCCTGACGTCAGGCAAGTCCAAAGATGGTGATTTGGAAGGGGAGGATGATTCGACTTACGCTTTCTACGCTTCCAAGAGGAGAAGGGCTTCTAGTAAGTTGTTGTCCATGTTGTCGACGTGCTATTCATTGACGACATCTAAAGGTGTTAAGCGAGTCACTTTCGACATTTAGCGACGGACATACGCGTTGGACTGGCTTGCTTGGACGGCAGCATTTTGGAGTATCACCCAATTATGTTTGAAATTTGTAGGGTCTCATGTTTGGTGCGAAGGATTAGGCGCACTGGGACGACAATGGAGGAGTTTTTGTTTACGGCAGCTCATCGCTCGCTATCAGCCTTTCCACATCATCATAGCTTCAAGTTCTACCTGACACTACAACTTTTTCAATTATCAAGATGTATCGCCTACTGCAAAAGTACGCAAGGCGCAAGAGGTCACTAAGCCTAGCCGGTGCACCGTACCACACGAGGTTGCGTGTCCTGCCCCTTTCGTAAACAGCCACCACACGCTAGGAACTCCGCCCTGTATATTTGTACGGCCATCTACCTAGTTGTAGGTATTTGCGCTTCTCAGACACCAAGGTTCATCGTAATATCGACAAAAGACCGTGCAAAACATGCCTCGTGCATCTGTAAAAGTATAGGGATATCTACTAGTTCAGATTAAGGTCGGCCAAGAAAGGACCCGATCAATTGAGAGAATTAAATTGGAGCAACTTTTGATCAAAGAGCTTGAACATGATAAGAACCATGAGACATGAATGAGAACTTTTGTCGCCAATCCCTGAGACTGATGAAGTCTCCTATCCTTCGTGAACGAGAAGGTTGCGCTCTAGTTCACACCACTTCATAGAATCACTAGCCGGGCTTTGTGAAGCCGAGGATGAGTCTCGACGGCTTTATACCAGCTCTTTACCTCTACCCAATGCTTTACTGTGCCGTTCCAATCTCGGTCTGTATCTTGTTGCCTTCGATAGTGTCGATACCTTCGGGGTTGTCTCTCGTATGAATCAGCGCATAGAACTCCGAATTCAGCGCTTCATCGTCTGAAAAGCCATACAGCTTCCGGTGCGATTTGATTTCTAGGTAGTTCTGGCAATTCTCGCAGCTCTCGACATTCCATCGGCTTAAGACCGATTTCGTGTCCACAAGCTTGTCTGGCTGACCGTTCTTGCCCTTGGTCCAGGTGGAAATCACAAACGAACCCCGGATTCGAGCACGATTTATGCCAGTCGCCGTGATCTTGGGCCCTTCTCGCAGGTCTGGACCGGGTAGAATGGCCTGGAAATCCGGTCTGGGATAGTCGTAACCAAGATTGGCCGTGTCGGTGACGTCCTGAGAGCGTGAGACACCGCTATCACTGGACGTGGGTGAAACTTACATTAGAAGTCATCGGCCGCGTATCCCCGGGTGTGATATCCTCTCGGGTGAATGGATCCAGGGGAGTGTCGAGACTCAGTCCCTCTGTACCCTTGAAGCCAGATATGATGTCCAGTTTTTTAGACTTGTTGTGAGTGTCTTGCCACTTCCAGAACATGTAATCTATGAAACAATGATGGAAGAAGAAGACGGGGTCGAATGCCGCAGTATCATTCTCACCCATATCACCGTTGGCGAATGGATAGACATCGGAATTGTCATTGTCGGGGCCGGGAACGTCGAAACCACCAACTGCTAAATGCATGGAGTTGTGAGGCTCCTCGAGGGAGACCACGACAGACCCGAAACCACCCTCGACCTTCTTCGTGTTCCAGTCCTGAGCCGAGTTCGCATTCGAGAAGACAGTGTAGTTGGGCGCCTTGAGACATTCCTTGAAATTGTCTGCTATTCCTGCTGGAACCGTCTGACCCTCGTGGTTCTCAAATGCTTTCAGATTGAGCCAACGCTTGATGTTACCGTTCAAGAGCTCAGTCGGTTGCCCGGGCGGCAGCTTGTTCACCTCAGCATTATGGTCTGACGTTTTAGCACTGAAGTCGGAGCTGACGAGTCCGGAGTAGGGATATCGCACAGTGTTGTACCCCTTAGGCTTTGTGTAGCCATTGGACAAGTCTTTTCCTTTGTTGTCCAGATCATGTACATCTTCCTGTAACTTATAGGAGAACAAAGGATTCGAGACTTTTGTTCCGTCTTTGAAGATGTAATCCTTCCGAGTGAATATATCTGGCAAACCTTCTTTTACTGATGAACTCGACGTTTCGTTCCAGTAAGGCAGAGCGAGATCGCTACATCCTGGAGCACTCCGCAAAGCGTTCTCGAGTCGCAGGAGGTAGGCACGGTGCCACGTGGGGAATAACACAGTGAAATGCTGGCAGTACATTGGTGCGGGAAGGCCATGATAGCCGGCGATGGTGAAATAGGAGTTCTTCTCGTCTGGCTTCAGGCTGATGATGTGTTGAAATGCTCTGACAAGGGTATCAAGCTCATCTTGATTGAGGGTACGAGATCTTTCCTGACGCGAAGCTTGGACATCATCTGGAGATTGAAATTGCTAATATAGTAATGACGAGAGGATCCAAGTAGATGGATAGGATTCAGAGGTAGTTTCGGGTGCGGACAAGGCGAAGAACGGAACTCTAATCTACCTTTGATCATGAGGAGGACCATTTCCGGTATTTATAGCACTTTGACGAGGGCTCGAGTATAGCTTGTATCTATTTTCATCCCGTCCAATACGTGTGATCTCTCATACAGGACGTAGTATTCAGTCTGTGCCTTCACACTGACCAATTATAATACTTGATTGTCATCGGCATGCATTCATGCCCTCCAATTTTGGCACATGGTAGATTCGCGACCACCGGAAATGTAGTCACAACTACCCAACCCCGCTGGCGTTTAGTGATTCCATGATAAAGGATAGACTATCTGCATGTCTCAAATCTAAGTAGTATAGTTGTCATGCAGGCCTTGCCACTGTGCGGGGGATGAGGCTGGCTGAAAGCTGAATACCGTTTTTGAAGGAGCTGAACCACCGAAAGCAGCCAAGGAGCAGCAGCACAGCATCGTGAGAAACAGCGGTGAGCACTGAAATTGTCTTGGCCATAATCCGTCCATTTGCACAATTGGTCGTCCACCGAATCAGTCAGAAAATGCATGTCTGATGGGACTTGTCGCCCATTACGTTGGCGATAGTAAACATCAGTCACAAGAGACTTAGGTTTAATGGTACTTGGAGTCGGTGAAGGCCATGTACATCTGGGTGAGACAAGCAGCGTCAACTGCTCAAGCTTATAGTTGAATATCCATGCAGTCGACCAAGTATGTTCGGACATGAATGTGGTGTACTCATATCTACCACGAACTCAGGTACATTGTATCGGGAGGGAAAGACATTGACCTCAGCAGACGTGGTTAACAATCCCCAATAAGGTCGCATCTAGAGCTGATCATTGCCCCAAAGGTGGTCACAGGCAGTTGAGAGGAATTGAGAACCGAGAGTCTAGGTGCATATAACTTTCATGTAAGTCTTCGGAGAATTGCCAATCTTGAGTTGAGAAGCATAAGCTTCACTTGAATCACTTTGCTCTAGCCCTCATAAGCTGTGGGAACCCTCTTATGCCGACTTGGCACGTAACGGTTGATACGTGGACTGACTTGATAATCCGCATTCGTCACAAACGAGGCCTTGGCAGATTCACTCTGCTATTTTGTGCGCTTGGATGTCAAGCTCCATCATGATCAACGAAATAAGCTCAGTGAGAGAAGGAAAGTTCCATCCTATATCATATTAGGAGATCCATGACAATCACGAGTTGATCGCATACACATCTAGGTGATCAGCAGACGACTGAGAAGCAAGTTTGTAGTTGTCAACGTTGCTCCTTTGACAAGTTGATTCTGCGTGAACCGAAGTTGATGAAGTGATTGAACTGAAGGTAGACTACCGTGATACCGATAACAGTGACTGAATGGCTGAGTTGAAGTAAGATTTGCTGGTCAGTCGATAAGTGGGCCGATGGAAAGTAAGTATCTGCAAGTTGATTATACTGCTTGAAAACTGGTGCCGTCGCTGTTGATTCAGAAACCGAAAGCCTTGGTATGATGTCGTCAACATGAACTCAGCAGGAACCTACTAGTTGCAACTTCGGAGTAACCGACAACACGTTGGCAGATAATTTGGATCGCCAAAAGCCTCTGAATCGCGCTGACGTAGTGCCTGCGCCTGCGCCTGCGGCTGTGGCTGTGGTGGTGTAGATCACCTTTGCCAGGCACAGCGTGTGAGCAGGTACCTATTTGTCACCCATACTGGGCCTAAGTTGGAAAGAAGGGGCTGCCCAGCCGCAGGAGCCACTGCCGTGGAATGTCTGTTTTCCCGCCTGTGAGGTAGGTAGAAGTAGTAGGTGCATATGGGCGTGTACCTGCCTCTCCAGCACTCACCAGCTCCTTCCCTCTGGAAAACTCCAGGAGCAAGTGCGCTTGGGCCGCACGTGACTCTCACAGCTGTGCATTTGCCCAGGTTGGGCCTACCTACGAATATCCGACAGTGAGGGCAGGTACAGATATGCGTACCTGCCTTCACTGTCAGGCTGTGCCACTGGATGGCCGTCACGCGTGTGGCTGTGAAATAGGATCACCAGGCAGACACAATACGGCAATACCCAAGGTACTGAGCAAAGTCTTAAAGAAGCAGAGACTTCCAGTGGTAAGAATTACTGCAACTGAACCATCACAAACACGAAAACCATCGGTGCATCATAATCAACCGTTGTGTCACAAGAAAATGGCATCCACTCCCCAACACTCCAACATGAAGCCACTTCCCGGTGCCCCTGCAGACGAAGCTCCGCCGCCGTACGAAGAGAAACCCCGCACGAGTCCGGGACCAGCACCACCACACCGGAGAAGTCCAGGACCAAGCTCAGGACCAGCAGGACCGTCGTCGGGGCCGCAGGTGGTAGCCCGCCAGTTCCCGCCAGCCTTCAATGTCTACTCGCAGAGCTTCAGCAGGACGATGCTCCTCGGCGAGCACCAGAGCCAGCCGTTCTATGGCATGTCGATACACAGCGGGTTGAGCAGCTCGCCGCCCATTGTGCTGCACTCTGGTCCGTCGGACAGGTTCCCGCCGCTCGCGTCAGTAGAGTACCACAGCTTCAGCAGCAGAATGAGCATAACGCTGCCACCTGCGCCAACACGTACACCAGGCGGCGGGCCCATTGTCGAGCTGGACTCAAAGAGCGACTTCCCGTCATGGAGCTACATCTTCGCCATAGGCGTTGGGCCAAACTGCGAGAGACTAGAACAGTTTGAATGGAGGACAAGCTCTGGCGAAGCGATCGCTGCGCTGGATGGCCGAAGCAGGGGTTGGAAGCTCGTCAGGCTGGCTCAATCAGTGCCCCAGAATGCCGGACCAGGTGCATTCAGGGGAGGTGATGGAAAGGAAGTGGTCGCTGTCTGGACGGATGCTGGCATGAGCATGACCAAGCTGGCCAAGTTTGCGTTCATGGGCAGTGGCTTGACGGGTGAGCTGGGCGAACGGTGGGCAATTATGGCCGTCATATCTGGCTTGGCCATCTTTGAGCGACAGAGACAGCGAAGACGTAACAATCACTAATCTCTACAACCGCCAAGGCTTGAGGAGACGGAGGTAGAAGATTGATGGATGAGCTCACGCTTTGTAAGATGCCCAGGCACGCCAGGGATCTGTTTCGTTTAGTTTAGTTTTGATACCCGTAGGCTTTGACAGGCCGTTGAACCTGTAGTTATAGTAAAGATGAGATGGCTTTCAATGATTCACTTACCCAAAGCTATGAGCGCAGCTGCGACACGCTTACCGAGCGGCGTGTGATGAAAGGATGAACTGCCGTGTTTGAAGTGATGGCACCTGGCTGAGCAGCGAGCGCTTCTTTTCGCTGCGCCGCCAGGGGCTTTTCTGCGCGTGCATCATGTTGAGTGCAGCGACAACCTTGGCTGTGTACTTGGACCGGCCGAGTCAGGTGGTCGCTATTTGGAGAAACCGTCGCCAGAACATTCTCAGTTCTGAATCAACTCCATAAGGCAGTGATCAACTCGGCCGAGAAAAGAAGACCACGATGGAACCAACATAGCCAAGCTTGGTGTTCGTAGATTCGATCGACTCTCTACGAAGGCATCCTGGCGTCGCATCCATCATGAGATTTTGTGCAGAGTGGACTCGGTGACTGGGTTATTCACTGCTGGAAAGAACAACGAAGAAGAAGGGATTTCCACTGTTTAACTCTATCGTTTTATATTACTAGAGGATTGCCGTAGTATATATAGACGCTACCCTACCCTCGAATTCCGCACTATTTAACCTTAACCCTTTTTATAAGTTACTTATCTTTTTCTCTATTTTACCCTCTCCCTCGTTAAGAGATTATTAAAATCGTAGTTTTAATAGCTTATTAATAAGTTAATATTATTATTTAAAAATAAATAACCTATTTTTATATATAAGCGCTAGGAATTTTATTATTATAAAAATAGTAATAAATATACCGGAATATTTAAAAGAGCTTTTTAATAAATTTTTAATACTATTTAAAATAATTATCCTCGAGCTATAGGAAAAAGCCGAAGTATTATATTAATATAGCCCTATTTATCTTATTAGTATTAATAATACCCTTTTTAATATAAAATATATTAATAATATTTTATAACTACGTTATTACGTTTTATAAATTATACTTAATATTAATAAGGATTTTAGTATTATTTATTAAGTCTTTTATTAAAGTTATTATTATAGGGTTAGTTTAGTTATTAATATTTTAATAAGTATTTTAACTTAGTATATTTAGAGGCTCTTATAGCTCTTAATTAAAAGTTTTTAAGGGACTTATAATTAAACTTTTTATTTAGTATAAATAAAGCTATTATAATTAAAGCTATAGCGCTACTTATAAACCTTAATAATAAGTAATTAGTAATATAGTTATTTCTTTTTTATAATAAGTTTAAAAAAGTATTTTAATTTAAGTACTAGGTAGGTACTATATTGTTTTATTAAAACTATATTCTTGTACTTATGACTTAGAAAGAATTAACTTTCTTCGATAATAAGGTACTTAGAAGAAGGGATTTCTATAAGATCGGCGATGTTTGTGTGCGGTACGCAGGTACGCGCTCGTCGATCGGCTGAAAAGGGGGTGGGAAACCCTTGCTGGTTCTCTGTGTGGAACATTGGGCCTTGAACATCGAGTTACAACGGGGCTCCCAGCGGCCTGGCTGGCCCCCTGTGGAGTAAGAAAGCAAGAAAAGGAAAAAAAAGACGTGCGTGATGGTTGATGTGCGGTGTGAAGCGCTGGCGCGCTGACAGGGGTTGAGATAGATTGGAATGGGGACGATGATAGGGATGGGATGACAAGGCCGTAGCCGTGAGACCCGGGCGGTTGGCAGACGGATCACGGCACGGGGCTCCGAGCAGATCTTCTCGCTCTCGCGGCGTCAGTCAGCAAGAAAGAGAGTTATCCGTCAAAGTGGTCAAGCCGGTGGATGACGGGGACTGGAGTCCAAGAGGGGTAATAACGCCAATGCTCATGTTCTGCATTGATGGATACAGTGGCCTGCTCATCGACGTCGTCATTAGCCTCGGGCCAAAGCCGCCAAAAGCATATTGAGGTGGGCAGTGGGCACGGGAAGTCTATTGGCAAAAGCATATCACGCATACTGCTTATACTGTGCGTGAGGGGGGGCAGCGGGCATCTCCCTACTTTAAATCAATCTCGCATCGACGGAAATCCTTCGTTGCACTCGTGGAGTTCTACACCAATGCCGCTGTCCGCTGGGCAGCTGGGCCAGGAAGAGATCAAATGTAATTTCAACTCGAACTTGAACTGGCATGGCTTGCCCAGCAGAGATGCTCAGAACGGTTGTTGCCCCCGAGTTCGGGCGCGCGCCGCCACATGGCCCCTCCTGGTCCATCGTCTGTTGGGTCCTCTTCCCGTGCTCATGTCCGAAAATTGACGGGAAAAAAGAAGAAAAGAGAAGAGACGCAGGGCCAAACCAGGTCAGACTCCAGAGTTATCAGTTGGCTCCTTGGTTCTTGAGAGCCGCTGAAGCCCCGTTCAATCTCTTGATCAAGCCTGCCGCCTGCCAGTGTCCCGCAAGAAGAGCCCAGAAGAGGGACATTCAAGGAATTGAAGCCACCAGCCTGGCCGGTCCAGCCTGCCGAGCGGTCTAGGAAGGGTGACCAGGCCTGTAATCATAATGTTTGTGCCTGTTGCCCAGCCTGCAAGCTGCAAGAGCAGAGATAATGAGGAGTCAAAAGACCCAGCCTGGAAGCGCTCAGGTCAGCAGCTGGCGGCGGCAAAGTCTTTGGCAGTGACAGGGCAGGATTCTCTTCTGGGATGAAGCAGAGAGGATTGGTGGAAAAGGGGAGGGAACTGCAACTCAAGGAAGTCCACCAGGCCAGGGAAACGTCTGTGCCATGCCTTGCGCAGGGGGCAAAAGTGGTTTTTTTTTTTTTTTTTCAAAGAACGATTTCTATCGATGATGCGTGGGCTCGAAGGCTCGAAGCGTGGTCACCCCTGAGGTCCCGCCACGACGGCCAGGACGTTGAGCCTCTTTCGGGAAGTAGCGCGTAGAGTGTTAATTGAGGCCGCGGAGGCTGCAGGGCGAATCTGGTGATAATTAAGAAAAAGGGGATGGGTCTCAGGACTTGGCTGTTTCAGGGTGGCCGCCGGGATCTGACGGGGATCTGACCGGGGGGCTCCCGGTGGTAGACGCCGGGATGGCCAATCGGTTCGGCCAGCGAAGCTCGGGAGTGGATCTTCAAGCACCGGTTGACATGGGATGGATCCTTGCTCGCGTTGTTCAAGTTGAGCTCCAGCCCTTGTCTAGTGTCCTCGTCGAGGCCATCGAGGGGGACTTGCATTGTCTCACCTTTTGGGCGCATGTCAACTGGACTGACATTTGCTTCTTCCCCAACTGACAACGACATGGCAGTTGGCCGAGCCATCTACAAGTTGTGAACTCATCGTGCCCCATGCTTACTACCAGTATCGTGGCATGGATAGACCTATTCACGCTTATGCTAGCGCCCGGAGCAGCCCACCAACTTGAGCCTGTCCAATATGTTTGCATCACGCACACCAGCGTAAGCGCAGTCGGCACTCGCCTGTTGCTCTCAGAAAGTCTTGGATATCTTGCCCCCCTTGACTCCTTCAACCTTGAGCCTTGAGCCTCGAGCCCCTCGTGCCCCTCGTCATCCTAGACATCTGGGCCCAGGCTTCCCAGCAGCGTGGGAGATGTTGCCCAGAGTCTATTGGCTTCTTCCCCTGAGCCACATCTTCTAGATCGAAGCCCACCATTCACAATACACCAAATCCAAAGAGGACCAAGACCCCCAAAGACCACCACCCACATCCCAATGATCCCAGCCGTGCCTGTCTCCCGCATACGCGAGATCCCCCTCCCCATGTTTATCCCCACCACCTGGCCGGATATGATTGTCCTGCGTATAATTGAAACTTTGGCGGAGCGGCGGAAGTGGTCCTCTTAATCTTGACCCGATGGAGTTGAGAAAGGACGCCAACGGCGCAAGTGCCCGCGTTGGGAAAACAACCTACGATGCCCTCCCGTATATATCATCACCTCTGCCCGGTCTCTCTTGACCTAGAAATCTCCTTCCTACGATCCATAGTGTTCAGCTTCACTTGACTTGTGTGTCTATCTCATTCCTTCGTTCAACTTTTGTCATTCTTTTCACTTGACCAGGTAGTCATTCATTCTTTTCGGTCCTTGACCTCCAACAACACTCATTCCTCCCAACCGACCTCGATATTCTCACAGTCAAGCCAACCAACCCCTTTTTTGAACAACTCTCGAAAATCAAAAACTCCAAATCACAAAAATGAAGTCCTCTATCGCCTCCCTTCTTGGATCCGCAGCCCTGGTGGCTGCCCACGGTTACGTCTCTGATGGTCTCATCGGTGGCACCAACTACACCTTCTACCAGCCCTACCAGGACCCGTACACGAGCCCGGCCCCCGAGCGTATCTCCCGTCCCATCCAGGGCAACGGCCCCGTCGAGGACCTGACCAGCATCGACCTCCAGTGCGGTGGCTACACCGCCGGTGGTGTCAAGGGCTCCTCCCCCGCCAAGCTTGTCGCCGAGGCCAAGGCTGGTGACGAGGTCACCCTCAACTGGACTCTCTGGCCCGAGTCTCACATTGGCCCTACCATCACCTACATGGCCAAGTGCGCCGGTGATGACTGCACCACCTTCACCCCCAACACCGACAAGGTCTGGTTCAAGGTCCAGGAGAGCGGCCGTGAGGGCACCTCCAACACCTGGGGTGCCACCCCCCTCATGACCGCCGGCAACTCTGGCGTCAAGTACACCATCCCCGAGTGCCTTGCCCCCGGCCAGTACCTCGTCCGCCACGAGATCATCGCCCTCCACGCCTCCTACTCCTACCCCGGCGCCCAGTTCTACCCGGGATGCCATCAGATCAAGGTCACCGGTTCCGGCAGCACCAGCCCCTCTGACCTGGTTGCCTTCCCCGGTGCCTACGCCGCCACTGATGCTGGTATCACCTACGATGCCTACAAGGCCCAGGAGTACACCATCCCCGGCCCTGCCGTCTTCTCCTGCTCCGGCTCCGGCTCCGGCTCCGGCGCTGCTTCCTCCGCTGCCCCCGTTGCCACTTCCGCCGCCGCTACCTCTGCCGCTGCTGCTACCTCCGCCCCGGCCGCTACCTCTGCCCCCGCCACTTCTGTTGCCTCTGCTGCTACCCCCAGCCAGACTGCCACCGATGATGAGGAGGACTGCCCCGTTGAGTCTGCCTCCGCCACCGTCAGCGCCGCTGCCACCGTCCCTACTCTCGCCGCCGATGAGGAGGAGGACTGCCCTGCCGAGTCCGAGGTCCCTACCGCCACCGCCACCGCTGCCCCCGTTGCCACCCCTACTCAGGCCGCTGACGACGAGGAGGACTGCCCCGCTGAGTCTGAGGCTCCCGTTGCTACCTCCACTGCCGCCGCCCCCGTGGCTACCCCTACCCAGGCTGCCTCCGACGATGAGGAGGACTGCCCTGCCGAGTCCTCTGCCCCCGTTGCCACTCCCACTCCCACCCAGGCTGCTGACGACGAGGAGGACTGCCCCGTCGAGACCCCCTCCGCGACCGCCGTCGCCAAGCGCATGAGCATTCACGACCGCCGCATCCAGGCATAAGCGATTTCCACGATTTCACTGTTTATCACGGGATCTGGTCTCGAGGGTTGAGGCGACCTAGATGGCTAAGGGGATGAGATAGCTATCCTGCTCGTAGTGGGTGTTCACACTTGTGACGTCCACGAATCTGATTCGGTCCAGGACCAATCTCTTTCATGTACAAAGTCTTTCCTGTATACCGCTTTACATAAAGTATATATCTTTAACGATATAGATCGTACCATTGTCACGTTCATAATCTGTTCAAACTACTTTCAACTTGCTCCGTGACTGTAAAAGAGATCGGCTGTGCAAAAGCGGGTTCTGGAAAAAAAACATCCCGTCGGATGTTCCGCTCGAAGATCAGATGAACTCTGGTTCCTGAAGGCTGCTGACGAACGACTCGCTCAAGTGGTTTCAACTACATTGAAATAAGGCCCAGTTTATGAACCCTGTCGGAGTAGCCTTAGCGCCGTTGTTTTCAATAAAGATTACTATGATCGCTGCTATCACAAAGCTTGACAGGCATGATCCTTTCAATGCACTCTAAAGGTGCGAAGGCCTCGGCAAGTCTCGGATGGCCAGACTCTCGCAGATCCTTGGTTCGCTGACAACAAGATACATGGGAAAGAGAAACCGGCAATACTCTCGCTGCATTCAAACTCATCGCTCCAATCCAAAAATTCGTTGATTCACACGTTCAAACACTACCGCCACTACGCAGACTGGATTTCTCAGCCATGGACTCTTGGACTTGAGAAACGGGAGCTGTGCGTCGCTTCTTCATCATGAAGAATGCAATGGCACCAATGACAGCAACGCCGAGAGTGACCATGGCACCAATAACACCGGCAACGACATTCGACATGCCTCCGCTGCTCCCTGAGCTGGAGCTCGTAGCTTCCTCATCTTGGTAAGCCGCACAGAATGACACAAGACTAGAGCAAGCAGTGCACCATTCCTCGACGGTACTGATGGCTCTCTTCTGCATCTCTTCGACGAAGCGCGGCCATGATAGAGTGTCTTCTCCAGTACCGAAAAGGGGAAACGCCGTTAGCTCGCCAAAAGTGCCGTTGCGGAACAAGAAGCGCACACGAAGGTCGGCATCGACATTCGCGGGGAATACAGTCGTGTTATCGCTAACGAGCTCAAACGCCATCGTCGAGGCATAGTCTGGGAGACCGTAGAAGTCGTCCGAAATGGTGATGAGATCAGTAAGACCAAAGAAGGACATGAAGGTGTCGTAGCTTCCTGCGAGAAAGGAGAACTTGAGTTTTCCCTTGGAAGCAACCGTCTGGTTGAGTTGGGCAAGGATGCCAGCCGCAAGAGTCTTTGCATGAATGGTGCTGTCGGGCTTGGACGCATTGAAGTTGTAACCGAACTCAGCGCTGTCTGCCAACGTTCGCAGCTGGAAGAGCTCCTCGTCCGTTACGTTCCGGGCCAAAGACGTGCTATTGTGGATGCGTGCCACATTTACCAAGTCAAATATGTCGTACGCGTTCTTGTATGTCATATTCTCGGGCTTGTAGTCGTACACACTCTCGAGCACATCGTAGAAGCTGCCGTAAAAGTCCTTGGTCTCCGTGACACGGGTCTGAAACTCTTCACTTGCTTCGAAGGCCTTGTAGGCCTTGGCGTTCGTAGGACATCCGTCATCCCCCTTGATCCAGATAGTGTCTGGCGAATTAGAGTTCTCTCCATGAAGGAGAACATACTGGTAGCCGTTTAGGGGGCTTGTACTTGTGCTGCCGTTGTTGAGGGTCGACGACGCAACCTGAGCGTTGAGGCCTGCCAATGGAGGATAGAGGCCTTGTAGAAATGCCGTAGCCGTATTCAATAGGATGCCTTGGTCGGGAGCACTGGCGTATATTTGCGAGGAAACGTATTTATCCTCGGAAATGTTGAGAATCCGACTAGAAGAGTCCGCCTCCAGATAGCGGCCTCGGTAGTCACTGCCAACCTCGAAACACTGCTGGGCACCGACGCTGGTCAACGACTGAGCTCCATAATGCTTCGTTGTTCCTAGATTTAGGCGTCAGCTTGTATCCGATGCTCATTTCTACAGGCATAAAACATACGATCGCCATGACGACTGAAGACGACAACGCCGTGGACAGTCTCGGCGGCTGCGGAGCCGACGAGTGAGATCACAATAAAGGCAGCCGTAGGAAGCATCTTGTTGAGCCCTTCTTGAAGTCGTTTATAGTACCAAGCTTTGGCAGAGTGCAAAGAATCCAGCGCCGGTCTAGGAAGACAGTGGCCGGCCTCGCGAGGTTTTTATGCCCCTCGCGGAGCGGCCCAGCTATCTAAACTCGCCCGCCATCCGCCGCCAAGCAGAAAATCTCGCCGCTCTCATCGAGTTATATCTCTGCTGAAGCGGGGGAGTCTACATCTCCTTCCAGTCCCGAGGGGCGGAGATGCTCGAAAGTCTCTTGGGCTACCGCCGCCAAGCACTTGGCATGCATCGCAACAAATCAAGCTCTGCGATAACAGCGGCTGTCGGCGGCAATTAATCATTTGACCGGTCAGAGCCGATTTAGCGATACAAAATCGACTGGTTCGCCTTTGAAATAAGCTGAAATCTGCATACTTGGGAGAGAGTATTATCTTTACTATAACACAACTTGACGAATAATTGCGACAAGTACAATTGAAAGTACATATTGTCTTTAGGCCACTCCTCTGATTCTGACCACTAGTGTGCCTATACAACCCTCGAAATACCTCCAAGGAAACCAAAAGAGTCGTCTCTACATGTGAAGACAGAAATATGTGAAGTCAGAGGAACTTGAGCCGCAAAAGACAGAATGAGACCAATCTTGACACTCCTGAATATTCCTCACAAAGACAAGTTTTCGTCCAAGCCTGAAGGCAGACTCCCGACTTTTTCTATAGAGAGAGTGGAATCGAACCGCAACTCCTGTTATTGTAGGCCAAGGGTGGGCTACTAGGCCCAAGAAGAATATAACTGGATAGTGGAACAATGGGGTGTCCGAGGGCCATTGAGAAGGCTCGTTTGCCCGAACTTCCAAGTTAGATATGATGTAGTTATGTTGTTGAGAACCACACTTGCACAGGCATAATGAAGATCATACATGTGAGGTTGGCTGTATACGTGTCAACTACATTTAGTGGAAGGGGAATGAACGCATTATCGTAACAACCGATGCCAGTTTGCACATTACCCCGAGGTACTATGGTCAATCCATTGTCTTGGTCACAGGCATGGGCAATGACCAAAGTTGTGGCCGCTGTCATGTTGCACTGATGTAGCTTGATATCCCCAGAATTCATACCAATCAGTGGCAGAGCGGTGTCAATCTGGACCAATTTCTCGGACTCCATTAACTCCATTAATAGAAAATTGTTTACGCCCGTTTCTAGTAGAGTGAATTGAAGTTGGTGCCCTCTTTACTCGAATGTTCGAGCCATGTCGAGGTAACTCCATCTTGTAGCAGGTTGTAAGTGAGCATTCTTTTTTAGGGGGAAAATCTCGTCAAGTCCACAAATGACAACGGTCAAATGCAATAGTAGATACAATCTGTATTTGTTATCACGAGTACTAGTGAATTTAAAGGGCAGAAAGCAAAAGATGTCAAGTCGGATCATTCAGAAGTGAGTATTACTCTATCTGACCAAGGTTAAGGTTGCTGATTGACGCCCCGGCTGCTTTTCTCAAGACCACGTAGTCCATTCATAACTTGGCATTCTGTCTTGAGACAAGGGATTATAGAGTTGATATCAGAGTGACTGAAACGAAGGATGAAGAAAAGTCGGCTTTTACCAATTGCTTTACTAAGGTAGGCAAAGGTCAAATTGTACTTGATCACATTCTTGTGCTGTCCATCGCCAATAGAGAAGACGCAATACCTCAAGGCAATTTCCATGTACGAATTTCAACGAGGCGTTGAACTTTCTTCGAATTGGGAGAGGCAGCGAACCACTTCCTTGTCTTTCTGCTATGCATCAAATCATGGAATATCATGCCATCGTCCTAAGCAACAAGGGAATCGTGAAGTTGGGCTTCAATGTACAAAGGTAGAATGTTTCATAGAACTTAGTCCTTGTTTGAGTATATACAACTATATTGCTCGTTGGAGGGGTGAGTGTGGTGCTGGTCTACGTGTCTTGTCAGATAAAGGCATGATCTAAGTGATCTCGAGGAGGTATATGCCATTACACCTCTTAGTAGGGAACATTTAGGGATACTGAAGAGCAGATGGATTCTTCCTTAGGGAGAATAAGTCTCCAGAAGTAGTAAGGTCTAGTTCCAGCTCCCTAGTGTATCATATTACGCTGATATATAGTCATCAATCATCGGCGCCCTCTTGAGATGTAATTAGAGTACTAGGTTATCCCATCGAGTGCGGAATGGCATCAGTATATTTGCCTCTGTTTTTCTCCGACGTACACCCCTTTTCAGACTTATCTGATTAGGTGTAGAGCCAAGATGTATCACTGGATCATCAAGAAAAGGTCGTGGAATAACACGTGATTCGTTACTACCTTACGCTGAAGAGAAATGTATGTACTGACGCCATTCCGCACTCGATGGGATATTCAACCACTGAAGATCACAAGAATATATCTAGGATTCACAGAAGGGAGTACATCTACATGAACGAGTATGGAAAACGCCCGATATACAAACTATGTTGGAATGTACACCATAGGCGACTGAATGACAACTTTCAGAGCGATGAAAGAACATCGAAGTAGATAGATTGGGATCATTCCACCAGACATCCGCTACGAAGGTCTCATTATTGTGTTGTCCATTGTACATTTAGGAGTTGCATAGTAAGATTGAGCTGCAAAATCAAGAGAACGGGATTATAGCACCTGCGTGTCCCCCAACGTCAAGACCAAGAACTAGGCTCGAACTTGCTCAAAGCGGAATTCGAGAGCCCGACTTGAAGGCCGTAGCTGCAGATCACCTGGCCGACTACAAGCTAGGTAGACATGTCTCTGGCAGGTTTCCAGCTGCCCAGGCGTTGGGCGGTTGGATAAAGTACGACGAGAATCAGCCTATGGCGGAGGGGTGATCAGTGGCGCTCCTGCATTCGGCCAAGAAGAACAAGACTTGTAGCAGCGCAACTGGATAAAAATATCATGTCTGGATAGGAGAGGGTGCACGATGAAGGTTGTGTCAAGTTGCACAGCCTGAGCGGCCGAAGTACTTTGGGTGTTGTATCGGCTCGTCCCGACCCCCATTGACTTGATGTCTGATCTGTGCCATCCCAACAGTTGAGCTGGATAGCAGACATCCAGTCTTTCAGAAATTTGAAGAACAACGTTGATTGTTAGTGTAGTTCTTTTTAGCTATACAAGTGATGGGTCAATTTGCCGTCACCTGATGTACATTGGAAATTAGATTTCATTGCGTGATTGCTGAGTCTTATCTTTGGTCGCTTGATGTCCGACGCGACGGGGGGACTCGACCGAAAAGCTGGCATTGATACGGAAAGCGAGGTTGTCGCTCGGCGAAAGATTGGGAGACATGGGTTTGTGGTGTCTGGCCGGGTTCGGAAGAGCCCCGTTGCGGCTATCGGTAAGGCTCTTCATTGGTGAATGATTTCGTCAGACCTTTTGGTTCGGAGAAGATTTCGGAGTCGGTGGATTGGCCAATGGCGTGTTGTGCTGCTGAGTGAGAGCATGGGACGGTAGGATTGAGAAAGAATTGGCAGTTGACAGGGAATGTGGGAGAGCTGAGTCGCTGACCGAACATTCGCATCCAGTCCAGGCCTGGTCAGTTCATCCGCTCTCATTCATGATTCACGCCCGTCTCCATGGATGTCGCTGGAAGTTGAAAAGGGCTTACATGATCCACGACGGGAACCATGGAAGGAGGTTTGGTCATATTTGAGAGAGGTGACAGAATTACGGAGACTGAGAGGCGAACGGCGTTACGTTGACAAAACATGGGGAAAGGCGTTAGGTTTTAATCCAAGTGCCGAAGGAGGGAGGATCCTCTCCAGTCTTCACCCATGATGATGCAGCAGTAGGTCCCATATTGAAGGTAGCAAATGGGCACGAACGGGACAGGAATGGGAACAGAGGGGGCGTTCTCGAAGGGCAACGAAGGCGCAGAGAGATGAGGTGCTTGGGGAAGCCGTGGGCTGAGAAAATGACGCCATCGCAGGCTCGCGTTAGCTCATCCCGATTGGGGAGATTGGCAGCCAGGATGGCGACATTCCAGCCGGCCTTAACCTCATCGTCGGTACTCGGGCGTCGGGGCGGCCAAGGAGTTGATGTCTGGGGATGCCTCTCTCAAACCTGAGTTCTCTTGAAGTTGTCTCCTCTGAAAGTTCATCTTTAGGGATACTGTACGTTTGATAGGTACTTGCTAAGCGTGCCTGGGACCCGCAGAAAAATGACGAGCTTGAATTTCAAGGTGTCGTAAGTTCATGCCTGGCATTGGGCAACAAATTCAAGAATTTCACAGAGAGCGAATACGACGGAGACTATCCGGTTTCTGAGCACCTCAGCTCAGGATGGCAGACACAGCCTGGCCCTGGAGCCCTGAGTGTCTTTGTCGTTTACCTGTTGCTGAGAGAGGGTGAAAATTCTTCTGTTGGATCCAGATGGACTGATTCAAGGAGACCCAGCAGATGACGAGAGAGAAACTGCAAAAGACGTGGCCGAGTGAGGGCGATGAGCTAATCTGGGTCCAATGGAACGGGACTGGGCAGAATTGGCAGAATAGAGGGAAAAATTGAAGAGCAGGTGACTCTTTCGTGGATAGTCGTGGACCATTTTAGTGCCTGGTTGCGCATGTTGTTAGGTAAGCCCGACCGACGTTAGCGAGTTGTGAACCTCGAAATTTCCTCGCCCACATCACAAAATACCCAAGGTAGTCCGTGTATGTACAAAGAGGCTCAACAGAGTCTTGGTCGATGCAACCACCACGATGAGCCTCAATCGGTAGCGATGAAGATGAAACTGGGGAAATCGTGACAGATGACAGACGGGAGAAGAATAGTTTGATTTGTGCTTCACACCAAATGTACTTCACCTAAGGTAGAGGTATTACCTTGCACCTTAAGGTACTAGGTAGGTAAGGTACCGAGTAGTAGGAGTACGGAGTACGTACTTGGGTACTTGTGGATGTTGCTAGCACAGTTGAGGGAGGTGCATCGCGGGGTGCCAGGCTTGCCTGCCGTGCCTGCCAGGTCTAAAATTCGTAGATGCCCTTTTTGGCTTGTTCGCTTGTCGGCGTAGCCTCCTGCCCTCCCAGTTGTCTCCCCCGCAATCTAATCAGTCGGCTATCGGAGGCAAGTGCAGCGAGACCCGTCCGCTGCCGCCTTCCCACCACCAGCGACAACCGTCTGCCAAAGAGGGCGGCCAATCACATTACCTCTCTAAAGGGGATAATGGGTACTCCAAAGTAGCGAGCACGTCTTAGTGGGTCTGGACCCCTGGGAACCGCTGTCGACAAGTGGAACCTCTGGGGGGCCCACATACCTGCCCAGGCTCAAGTTGCTCAACCACCGCTGGTAATCCTAGCGATAACGCCATTTTCGCCCCAAAGCACTCAAACCCGCCTCTTTGGTGCTGGCTCCGTCTACGGCTTTGCCAACCAACTGCCTCTGCCCGCCTTCAGCTCAACCAGCACCAGCAACGAATCTCAAAGCCTACCGTACAGATCACTGCAACAGAGATAGAAAGGACGAGAGAAAGACAAGAGCATCAAACCTTTTATTCCACCGACGCCGCTTTCGAATCAGCCGCTATTAAGAACACACCGATCCCTTCCTACTACGAACAAACATTCGCAACCTACACTATCTACATAGTACTTCGTATATCTCTCGATCCAGCCTCGGACGAACCCAGACCGCACCCTCCCACAACCTCACACACTACTTCGATCACGACACCGACACCCTCAAAGGCGACGACGGTGCACTGCGACCACGATACTTTCCTCCCTTCCTCCCTCCTTCAACTCCGTTCGCCTCGTCTGAACCTTGTCGCACCCCTCCCCTTACTATTCGTAGCTATCGGGCAACAAGACCTTACCCTCTCCTCTCTCCGCCGCCAAACAAATCCGTCGCAATCAGCAGGCCAACAAGGACGAGAACAGAAGAAGAAAGCATCTAGACGACTTCCACCGCTGTCCGCAGACCACAGCACCCCTCCCTCCCCGGCCGACGAATCATCAGGGGCTCAACCTCCTGCCAAACCTGCCTCGAGTCTCAACACAAACGCCCGCGCGCGACTTCGACAAACTGCACTCGAATTGCGTGCCCTCTGTGCAAATTCCATCCACAACGACACCCCTCATAACCAGTCGGAATCCGTTCCTGCAGATCGTCCGGGGCATCCATCTTGGGCAGCTGCTGAGAGAACCTATACTCAGACACCCCATACTCTTTTTCCACCAAAAAAGATACACGCCAATCCTCTTCCAGTACCTGTGACGCCAGGTCTCTCTCCACAAAGTTCCTACCCGAAATCGACCTTCCCCTGGCTCGCACGCCATCGCCAGGTCCTCTCGCCTCACCAACACCCAAAACGCCCATCTGCCACGACTGTCACTCTGTCACTCCCTCCCCGTGTCACTCACTGTACCGTACGGATACACGGTCGTCCCGCCCCTCGTCGTCCTCTGACTCTACGCTCGTCGTTTGCTTTGTAGGCTGTGTTCCTCATTGTACACCTCCCCTACCGCCGCCCGCGACACCAACAAACCCAACCGAACGGCTTCCGTCTCGCCCCGGATGATTTGACACCATTCACCCCAACTGTTCTGTGCTCTGCTTCCATTGCTTGCTGAAACATATTGCGGCCATGGACCTCGCAAGCACGTCAACCGTCCCGGATCCCCGGAGCCTGAACCTAAACTTGAACATGGGCCTCGACCACAACCTCGACACCAATAACTCGTCGCCCAGTCACCGCCATGACGAGCTCGCCTCGACTTCTCCTTCCTCTGACTACTTCAAGAACACACCGACTTTCACCGCTACTGCCGACGTTAACTCCACACCACTCTCCTCCTCTACCTCCCATCACAACCACAACCACAACCACAACCACAACCACACACTTGCTCCCAACGCCGCTGCCGCCGCCAACGATGTGACTACTGTGAACCATCCATCCAGAGACAACTGCGACAGACGGAGACCTGACGAAGGAGAAGTCTCTAAGTTCCCCGCGAACATGCCTACCCAGCTCGTCGGCCAGACAGTTACCCCCTTCCTCCGAGAACACATCCCCGGCATCTACGCTCCCATCGGCAAACCCGATGTCCAAAACGAAAACAACAACTCCCTCATCCAGAAGCGAGACCCTACCAACAGCAAGTTCTGTTATCGTCACCGCCCCGACGCAAAGTGTCGTCGCGCGGCCGACGAGTCCAAGATGGTCTTGATTCAAAGTGTAAGCCCGTCTTGTGTTGATGCCCACAGGGCCTATCGACTCCGTGCTGACACGTCTGGCGCACAGGAACTCGATAAGCTGCCGTCTGCCGATCAGCAAGCCATCACACACGTGTGGTCCCTCTTCTCCGCCGCCCCCGCCAAGCACCGCGATCTCATGCTTCAGGGTATCATCACTCAATGCTGCTTCCCCCAACTGTCCACCGTTTCCCGAGAAGTACACGAACAGCTGAAGATCGACTTCATGGCTGCGCTGCCGACCGAGATCTCATACAAGGTTCTCGGCTACCTCGATACTGTCTCCCTCTGCAAGGCCGCTCAAGTCAGCCGAAGGTGGCGGGACCTCGCCGACGACGACGTTGTCTGGCACCGCATGTGCGAGCAACATATTGACCGCAAGTGTACCAAGTGCGGCTTCGGCCTTCCCCTCCTGGAGCGTAAGAGGCTACGAGACTGGAACAAGCAAAAGGAACTCGCCGAAGCTAGGAGCCTGCAACAGGATGCTGCTGTACAAGAGGTTGAAGAGGTTGAAAAGACCCCGACAGCCTCGTCGCCCAACGCCAACAAGAAGCGAGAACTAGTTGTCCTCGACGACAGCCGAAAGCGTGCTTGCCTGAGCGACCCGGGCGAGCCCATGGCACCCAAAGCCGGAGCAGACAAGGAGCGAGAACGTCTCATTCGGCCGTGGAAGAGTGTCTACCGTGATCGTTTCAGGGTTGGCTTCAACTGGAAGTACGGTCGATGCCACATCAAAACCTTCAAAGGACACGACAACGGCGTGACATGCTTGCAATTCGACGACGAGATTCTTGCCACGGGATCCTACGACGCCAAGATCAAGATTTGGAACATTGAGACGGGAGAGGAGATTCGCACTCTGAGCGGGCACACGATGGGCATCCGTACCCTCAAGTTTGTCGGCAACAAGCTCTTCAGCGGTAGCTTGGATCACACAGTCAAGGTGTGGAACTGGCAGACGGGTGACTGCATCAGCACGCTACGTGGCCACAGCGAAGGTGTCATCACGGTCGACTTTGATGGAAAGTACCTCGCATCGGGTTCCATCGACAAGTCGATCAAGATCTTCAACTTTGACAGCAAGGAAACGTTCTGCCTCCGTGGCCACGAGGACTGGGTCAACCACGTCCGCCTGGACCCTGGATCGCAGACGCTCTTCTCAGCCTCGGATGATTGCACTGTTCGACTTTGGGATCTGCGGAACAAGACATGCATCAAGACCTTCGAGGGCCACATGGGTCAAGTGCAGCAGATTCTGTTGATGCCGGAGGACTTTGAGCCCGATGAAGAGGCACTCGCTGGTGATGGCGCCGATAACGTGTCAGTTCACAGCGGCAGCGGCCGGAGCACGACGCCGACGGCGTTTGCCAACGTGGCGTCGATTCTCGGCTCTTCTTTCGGCGGAGGGGATTCCGGTTCCCCACCGGAGGACGACCGGACGTCGTTTGGTTGCGCCTTCAACTCGGACCCCACCCGGCAGCTGCCGCCCCGCTATATGCTCACCGCCGGTCTCGACAACACGGTCAAGGTGTGGAACATTCACACTGGCAAATGTCTCCGTACCATGTTCGGTCACGTCGAAGGTATCTGGGGCCTCGTCGGTGATACTTTGCGTATTGTCACCGGCGCCAACGACTCCATGGTCAAGGTCTGGGAGCCCAAGAGCGGCAAGTGTGAGCGCACCTTCACTGGCCACTCTGGCCCCGTCACCTGTGTGGGCTTGACCGACAGTCGCATGGCCAGCGGAAGTGAAGACGGCGAGGTGCGCCTGTACAGCTTCGAGGCAGAAGCACCTCTCCTCGAGGAATGTGGTACCCCAGCATAATGGAGCAGCGATGGAAAGTTTTGTGTTTCTTCTTTTTTGTGTTTTCCCTCCTCCTTGTGAAAAGGATTCCATTGTTTCAGGCGGGAGTTTTGCAAAGACGATTCCCCAACGGCGATTTATGAGAGACGGGCAGTGTTGATTGCACAACGGAGAAGCGACTCCGTTGCGGCCCATCTCATTCTTGTTCAGATTATTTAGATGTCCTCGTGGACCACAGGGACCGGGACCGGTACTAGGACGGGTGACGAAGCCCGACCATATGGGATGGCGTTTGAGGAGTCATTTTGTTTTAAGGAAACCCGATAGGAAAACCGAAAAAGGGAATTGGGTTGGGTGGCATAGGAGGGAAAATCTAGCGGCGCGCTTATTCCAAGTATGGAATATATCATGAGCCCTCATTTTAATCTACTACAAAATTTACGAGTCGTACCATTGGTTTTCACATGCTTTTGTCACACAGACGGGCAGGTTGTGTGTTGTGGTGGTGGTGGCTTGTCAGCCTCACCCGCTTGCGACTTTCATCTGATACTGGCGCCGCAAATCAGCACCAGCACCAGTGCCAGACCTTGCCAGGTCCAAGCTAGTTTCCCGTCCCTCCATCGCCAGCCTTGATCAGGTGACGGCCATGTGGCGGTGCCTGCATGACTAAGCTTGAAGGGGCATCAGGAAGTTGTTCGGTTCACTCATGTTCATTTGACTGTGTCTCTTGCGATCACTGTTCTCTCAGAGAGGATGAGACGAGACGAGTGAGGTGAGTTCAAGGCATGGGAACTCGCTTCATTACTATAGTGATGAGAACAGCGGTAGAGTATTAGCCATAGAGATGAGAGAACTCGTGTAAAGGACAAAAGGGAGTGAGTCAGTGGCCTGGATTGAATGACTGAGTGTGTGAGTGAATGAGTGAGGCCAGGACCAGCGTCCGAACCTCGGCAACTTCTGGCGAATGAGTCTGGCCAGTCGGGAGGGCGGAAGTAGCCGGGCCCCCAACTCCCCACACTCTGAGTACCAGTTCCGCACTTCCTTGCAGCCACCTCTTTGCCATTGGGGATGTTGCCCCGCAAAATCACAAGCTCGGCTTGGGGTCGGCAAAGCTGCGAGTTGGGCCCCGTTCTCCCCCTTTCGGTGTGTGTCTGTCTAGGTATTCTCTGCCGCAGCATGCCGCACGCTGGAACTGGAGCTGCAACTGGAACGGAGTCAACTGCCGCTACGTCACTTTTGGGGGTGTGGACTGTGGAGCGATATGTCACAGGCCGAGGAGACGTGAAGAGAGGAAGAATAAGAAGGAAGACATGATGAAGTAAGTGACGGGCAAACAACACATGATCACACTTACTCCAGGCTCGACGTAGGCATTTCAATTAGCTCCCTTGGTCCAGCCAGTGTCTGTTCAACGCTCAACCGGAAGACGATTGGAGACTGTAGATGATCCAAACAGCAAGGAATACCAAGAACCTGAGATGAGAGATGAGGTCCAAGGTACGCTTGCGGTCTCCAATACCTATGCCAATCACACCCCCGCCTGGCCTCCGTTCCGCCGAATCGGGATGGTCTGTCGCAGCGCAAACCCGCTACAGAGTCACAGACGTCTGAAGAGTTCAATGGTTTGAGCCACTCAGACATTGGTCCCGTGCTGCCTCTCTCTCTCTCTCTCTCTCTTCTCTCTCCAGAATGTTGTCCCTTCTCATCTGTCCATGGCATGGAAGACTAGAAGTCTATCCGTACACGCCCCCCTTCCCCCTCACGCGCCCGGTTTACCGAAACCCCTGGCGCTGGTGTGTGCCGTCGTCCTAGGCTGGAAAGCTGAGGTCTGTCTGGCTGGCCTCGTTGTGCCGCGGGTGAAGGGGGAGATGGAAAAGACCTTCTCCTCATATGCTTTTCTTGTCTAGCTCCTCAAACTTACAGTCCCCGTTACCGGTGTGTATGACACCAGGCACACACACACATACACACACACTCACTCTCACTCTCCCCAAGACAAGACCAAGACCGCCTTACACGCCTGTGCTCGGGACGAAACCTCGAGTCATCTGCTTCTTCCTGTCCTGATTCTATTCTGGCTTGTGCGGCGTGCTTTTGACATTGGCCACCCCCCTCCCCTCCCCTCCCCTTCCAATGCCATGCCATGCCCCCCTCCATCTAGTCAGTAACCGTATGCGCCACCTTTTATATACATGATTGCCCGCTCTACCGTGGCTTCTGTCATCGGCGCCGAGGATGTTTGGCTTTGCCTTTGTACGTCCCTGGCAGCGACTTGTTCCGAATCTTCTTCTTATTCTATTCCGACTTCTTCCCATGCCAGCTTCTCCCTTGTGATTCTCATGATACCCTCCTTCTTCTCTTATTTACTGTGACGCATCTCGCATCCCCATCTATACTCTCGATCAACAACAACAGTGCTCGCTTTCTCCTTTGTTGGTTTCGGCGCAAGACTTGCTGTCTCCTCTCTTCCCTATCAGTCATATCATCTACTTTCTTCATCTTGCGTCATGTCGTCCAAGGTAAAACAAGACGGCAAGGCGCCGACCTCGGCCGCCGTGAACCTCATTGGTATGTACACTTCCTCTCGCAAGACCGGCGCGGCAGAGACATCGTCACTAACACAACCCAATAGCCGGAGGTGGTGCAGGTATGATGGAGGCATTGGCATGTCATCCCCTCGGTAAGACTCCCTCCTCTTGCTGCAGCACCAAGGGCGCGCATATGCATGCGCAAGCACACACGCCTACCCGAAAGATGTGAACGAAAGTCAATTGACATGGGACCAAACCCACAGACACGATCAAGGTCCGAATGCAGCTGTCGCGGCGCGCGAGGCAGCCCGGCGCACCCAAGCGCGGCTTCATCAAGACGGGTGTCGAGATTGTTAAGAAGGAGACGCCGTTGGGTCTGTACAAGGGTCTCGGTGCCGTTCTGACGGGTATCGTGCCTAAAATGGCCATCCGCTTCACGAGTTTCGAGGGGTACAAGAATGCTTTGGCGGACAAAAACACGGGAGTTGTCAGTGGACAGGCGACATTCTTGGGTGAGTCATCCTACAAGAGATGTGCTCTTCTGCCAGTGTACCAAACGAGACTAACCTCTGGTCTCGTGTAATAGCCGGTCTCGCTGCGGGCGTCACGGAAGCCGTCGCCGTCGTAACGCCTATGGAGGTTATCAAGATCCGCCTCCAGGCACAACACCACAGCATGGCTGACCCTCTCGATATCCCAAAGTACCGCAACGCCGCGCACGCGCTCTACACGGTCGTCAAAGAGGAAGGCTTCGGCGCGCTGTACCGCGGCGTGTCGCTGACGGCTCTGCGCCAGGGCAGCAACCAGGCCGTCAACTTCACGGCTTACTCGTACTTCAAGGAGGCCCTCAAGAAGTACCAGCCCGAGTTTGAGAAGACGACGCTGCCGGGCTACCAGACGACTCTGATTGGTCTCGTCAGTGGCGCCATGGGCCCGTTGAGTAATGCGCCGATCGATACCATCAAGACGAGGCTGCAAAAGACGCCGGCCGAGTATGGCGTTAGCGCGTGGAGTCGCATCACCAAGATTTCGGCTGATATGTTCAAGTATGTGGCTGCCTCTCTCTTCTCCGTCTCTTGTCCAAGTAGAATTATGCTGACTGCATCAATAGACAAGAAGGATTCCACGCCTTCTACAAGGGCATCACGCCGCGTATCATGCGAGTTGCGCCCGGCCAGGCTGTGACGTTCACCGTCTACGAATTCCTCAAGGAGAAGCTGGAGAAGAGCAACCTCGCCTTCTCTGGAGCTGGCTACGAAGAGTGAATCGTGCTTACGACACGGCAGTGACGCAGTAAAGAACTGTTTGTTTTCCACGTAAAGAGAAGGGGAATGTCTGTCGATGTGCAAGATACCAGTGCCTTATCTGCGTACTAAGGGGCGGCTCTGTGATTTTGGAAAGACAAGAATGCGCAACGTGGTAGATTGGAAAAACGTGCAAGTAGTAGATATGCACGGGAGCACAATGTTCATAGAAGGTACTGCATTGCGTATGAAGTCTTGCCTATCATTAGCCCGATCCACGGGCTTTAGTTGTAATGTGCGTTACACGCGCTCGATCCCAAACTTTTTTCTTTTCCCACCACAAAGCTGCTACGGCCGGGGCCATGTTCGTCTACCGACCAGGTCTCTTGGGTCTGCTAAAGTTTTGTCGCACCGTCACCTTGGGGTGTAGCTCCGAGAGAACCGTGTCCTCGGTGATCTCGCTGGGGTCCTCAACCTCGAGCTTCTTATCGAGCGTCAACCCTGCCTCACTAGACGCCACGTCCAGTACGGCGCGCTTCATGAGGGGGTACAGCATGCGGTTCTTGATGGACCTGTTGCCGGCGTTGACGGGACAGGTATAGATGAAGAGCAGGGGGCTCGACTCGGCTCCGTTGTGGGTGTGTGTGAATCGGTAAAAGGTAAAGCGCGGCTCGGTGGAGGAAATGGTCTGCGTGAGCTCGGCAATAGAGGAGGGGCTTTCGCTAGAGGGGACGAGCTCGACAGACTCCTTTTCGGGATTGATTTTCTATACATATCCAGTCAGCCATGCAACATCAAGAAGAAGCGGCGCAGAGGTATCGAACGTACCAGCATCACCAATGTCTTGCCACTGTCCGGTGACAACTCCTTGAGTGCGACGAGAGCGTCCTCGGCAATGGGCATGGCCAGGGTCTTGCTAAGATGGATCTCCCTGGTTCCCGTACCGGTGCTGGCCTCCTGTTCGGCCTGCTTAACGGCGCCGAGGCTGCGCTCCTCCTCCGTCAACGGAGCCTCGAGCTCGGTGTGAGCATCATGTTTAGCGAAACCTTTGGCAGACAGCTCCTCTGCCATGGTAGCAAAGATGGACTCGCGGAAGTGCTCGGAGCCTAGCTTTCGGACTAGGGTCAGGCGGGTGGACGCAAAAAGCATCTTCTGGCGAACCTTGGCCGAGTCGGGGACATAGGTGACGGCTGTTAGGTGCGGAGCCGTATCATAGCGGCGAAGGAGGGCATAGAGGGCTTCGTTGGGCTTAAGATGAGGCTGGAGGGAAGCGAGGTTGTCGTCGAACGAGGAAGAGGACGATGCCTTCTCGAGGAATTGGACGGGCTTTAGGGTCTCGGCTTCAATGGTGATGAGAAGTCCGAAGTGGTTGTCGGTGGACAGGAGAGTGTTGAACTGGGAGATGAGCTCCTCAGAGGCTACCGGACGTTAGCTCTTGGAACAAATAGTACTCTATCGAGAGGAGAGCAATGACTACACACCGGAGATGCCTGACTGCATCCTAGCGATTGAAGACCGAGGTGCGTCTCGAAGCGTGCGTTTACAATTGAGCTTGTAGGTTGTAGCAGAGAAAAAACAGCAGGTCTAGTAGTATATATGCCCGACACCTCTATGCAGGAGATCTGGATGCCAAGGCGGACGCGTTGAGAAGCGGAGTATTCGGTGAGGTTGTGAGGTGGTGTTTGAAGCTTGAGATGCGGCGCCGCTACGTCAGCTGGCGGGTGGATCCAGTGGACGGAGACCGCGGTTATGGAGGGGTAGGAGCAGTTGCTGGGGTGCTGGGACACTGCAAGCTGCCACTCTGGCGGGCCTCCGCCATTCCATTGTCTGCCTTATGTCAGCATCACCATTTAGATAAGGCACCTAGATCTATCATAAGGTTATCTTATCTCTTCTTATCGCTTTGCCTAAGCAACGTACCTAGGTACCTTACCTTAAGGTACCTTACCTAACGTAGGTAGCTCCCAAGATCAGAAATATCCATCAAGACGACACAAGGTAACATTACATCCGACTTGGGTTCAATTAATTCAGCGTCATGCGATCATCTTCATGCCTCGTTTCATACTACATTGAGTTTGTTTAACACTCAGCCATGGCTACATTCAAACGATGCGACTCCAATAGACACATCCCAAGTACGCAGCCGTGATGGCGATGGCATACGGGACAACCGCCCGGGCAGCCTGGAGCCAAGCTGCTCGGCGTATGACTCTGTCCGACTCAGTATGGGAAGCCTTGTCATTGACTCTCGGGAATGATTTGTCTTTGGGCACGTCCTTCTCAAGGAACTTGCAAAGAGGCTCCCATCCATCTTCGCCGACGCGATACACCAAAAGCCTTTCAGGCGCCACATGAGCCTTGACGCGCTCTGAATGCTCTCGGAAGACATCCGGTGCTCGCCGATGCAGCTCCTCGATTGTGCGAGCACCACCAAAGAAACCGCTGATAGTCTTCTGCATGGCGAAGCCAGCCCTGTTACCAATTACCATGCCCACACCCTTGAGAAATACATCAACCCACGGCCCAAACAGCGGTTGGATAACTTGGCTGTCGAAGCTTGGAAACCACTTGTCAAAGTCGCGTTCCGTGAGAATGATCTTGGCATCGGGATAGGCATCGATCAGCTGCACTGCCCAGAAACAAGACAGGTCGGTCACCGCGTCGTACGACCCGAAGAGTTCGTCCCAGTCTTTTCGAGTGAACGGCGTGGGAGGAGGTGTCTGGCCCTTTGCGTTCACTTCAGGCCAAGTCGCGATGGCGGCTCGCTCGAAGAATGCCCAGTGCGTTGGTTTCGTCCGGGAATCCAGACCGTGGAAGACGTGCTTAAAGCCCAGCTCAGAGAGGGCGGCCGCGAGAGAGTTCGTGCCTGTGCGAAGCATACCGACGGCCAAGACCTTGGGAGGCCCAGCATTTCGAGCTTTCTCCTCGTGGGTGGCCATGGAAATGTTTGATTGACTTGGCACGAGCGAGCGGAATCAAAAACTTTGCACCCCACGTCGAGAACCCAAGATTCTGTTGATTGCAGCTGATGTTCATGAGTTGCAGTTGAGATAGGGCAGACTGTCGAGTTAATAAGTTGCCGCCAAGCCATCCTCCCTCGTCAGCACTAAGGGCGCCACAGAGCCTTCTTGTGGTGAGAGAGACCGAACCCCACCACCGCGCACCACTTCAAAACTCAAGGCAGCGTTTCAATTGATTCGGCATCCTGATTGTGCTTCAGCGTCTGTCCTCGTACTCGCGATGGACCGTTGCGTCATCTTCCTGATGTTTCCATATCGAATCTCTTCGATAAGTATGCATTCTCTTAACATCAAGTGACCAGCTGCTTTCTGCTGCGCATAAGCAACTCACGGTACTTCTCCAAGCTCTTTCCGATGATATTGATGAAAGGCCATTGCGTGTTGCTTTTAAAAAAGTGTGCCCATATTCTCAAAACCGCAAGGCTTAGTGAGGCGGGATCTCGATCCGTTGACGTTTCGGGCTCATCGTCTTCGAAATCGACGACATCGTACGCCTCTTCCACAATGCATCGAACCCAGTGCAAGATGCGATCCTCGCTGTCTGTTAGTCTCTTGTCAGTCTGGGGACGCCGAGAGATAGTCATGAACAAGCATGGATCAGCTTACCACTAAGAGGCGTTGTCGCGACGGATTCAGTGAGTGATGAGAGCCATTTACTGAGCAGAACCGCACACTCTAGCCCCGAAAGTGAGTGACGAACGCTCCAGAAGAACGCCTGGCTACGCGCGACACGGTCAACGCCAAGTCGTACAGGGATACTGAGCATATGAGCAGTGTACAGCAGCGCGGTGATGACACCACCACTTCGCTCCACGGCCGGAGACCGGTTGATGGCCTTGGCGATACGCATAGGGTCTCGAGATTCAAGAAGCCGGTACGGACCAAGGTGAAGGTAGATGCGCACATAGGCGAGGCCGAGCAAAGAGCTGGATGTGAAGGGGATAGGTCCATTCTCGTTGTTGGGGTCAAGACTGGATTCGGGAGCTTGCTGCCACCCTGCGGTCCAGGAACGCAGGCCTCGTCTTCATCAGGATGTCAGTATCACGTTACGAACTGAGAGTCAACACGGGAAGAGGGACTGACTCAAGCTTGTCAACCTCTTCGCTGGGAAGAGACGCTGACTGATCCATAACTGGTAAAGACAAGTCGCGGACAATGAAAATCCTCTGGAGGAGCCCATGCAAGAGGATGTAGTTACCCAGTGGTGTTGGAATGGGGTCAACGGGAGCGGTCCCGTCTGTGTTCCTCAATAGCAATGACAAAGCGTCTTGAAAGTACAGTTGTTGCTTCTCAGTTTCCTGGCGAGCGGTCTGCCACTGGCACGCCGACTGCGCTTTCCACTCTCCAGTCGAGCAAGGGAGTCGAAGACCAACCTCGTTGCTGCGTAGCACAGGATACACGTTATATGCGATGCTGTGAGTGTGCATGAAGGAAAAGGCAATGAGCTTGGCTCGGCGCGTAGACTCCTGTCGCACCCATGCTTGCCAGGCGGCTTGCGGGGTGGCCTGATCGGCAGGAAGCTGAGGGACATCCTCTTCATAAAGACCAACTTCTCGAAGGATCTGTGCCAGAAGTGCCTGTAAAGCAAACGCTTCCTGCACGAGTGACACTTTGGGCTCCCAAGTGGCGTAACCCATGAGGGCAATCAGGGCTCGAACTGTCTCTATTGGTTCCCAAGAACCCCAGTCCCTCTCCCGGAAACCTTGCGAGGCGCGGCGTTGTGGCGTCAGGTTGTGAAAATTCAGAGATGAACTGGTATTCGGACCAAACTTTTCAGACTCGTGCATCAACCTCTCCATGAGAATAGTCTTGCCCGCATGAAAAAGTCTCTCGGACATGCGATGCTCGAAGCAATACTGGGCGCCGACTGCAGCGAGGCCGAGAATGAGTTCAATGGAGTGTTCAGGGACTCGCCATGTTGGCGTATGTATGAATGGCATGTGCGAGTGGAATCCCTCGAAGAATGAGGTTAGATAGCGCGATAAGGCGTGCCGTGATGGGAACTTGAAATCTGGATCGAGAATGTCTCGAAATGTTTCAATGGAGTTGTTCAGACGATGCCGCTGCTCGTCTGATATACGGTACGGTTGCGAATCAATATCAACAGACCGCGGGTCTTATTTACCATGTCAGCTAAGATGGCTTTGGACAATACGCGAGCCTTTGATAAACACTCACTTGTGTCTGGCAAGGTTTCAGATATCCGATTGCCAGTGGGCGCCGATGGTAGCCACGAACTAAAAGGCGTCCCCGGTCGAGTTCTACTATTACGGGCCCCCGGCGTAGTTGTCCCTTCTCTGGACATTTTCACCGTTGTGTCGGTAACCTCGTGATCTCTATCAGGGCCGTGAAAGTAGGGGCTCCATTCCGCTGGCAGCCCAACACCGTCGAGAAAGTTGGCAAACTCTCTGAAGTGGGCGTCAAATCCCACAGCATCTTGATTGCCTAATACTTTTGCGTTAGCTTTCAAAAGTCAGAAAAGCGGACTCGAGCCATCAACCAACCATTTTCATAGAATTGATCTCCAAGCAGAGCCTGCTGATATGAGGCATCTACGAGAGCGCCGTTCCGTGGGACGGCCATGGGATACAGCTCTGACGGCGGTGCAGGTGGTTGTTGCTGTTGTGCCCAGTGGTCCACGCTCATCCCCGAGAGGGAGACGGCAGCAGCCAGATCAGCCTCAACAGGCCCATGGGTTTCCCCCGAGTCCGGCTCCGATGGGACCCCCGGAGACTCAGATCCATCCTCATGGAAAGCGATCCGCTGATGGCGGGTCAGCAAGTCACGCCGGGCAAAGGCAGCTCCACATCGACAGATGAATGGCTTCTCCTTGGTATCTGGAAGAACGTGCCGGTTAGCATCGTAGCACGTGGCAGTATCCCGAGCGTCTGGTCATGGAATGGGCTAGTAGTGTAGCGCCAGCAGGAGGGGTAGCTGATCGTTGACTCCAGACAAACATCACTCCAACACTTGGAGGAAGCTGAGGGAGGGGGGACGACTGACGCGTTCGCACATGGCGCTCCAAGTGCTCGGTGCGCTTGAACGTTCGTCCACAGTGAGGACAGGACCGCGCATCAGGGCCGTGACCGGTTCGCCTCCTTCGCTTGACTGGAGTCGAGTGCGGTCGCGGAAGCTGCTGCTGCTGCGGCTGCTGCTGGTGAAGCGGCTGCGATTGCGGCTGCGGGTGCGGTTGTGGATGCGAGCTCGTGCCGTTGTGGGACAGCATCCTTCCCACCTTCGCTTCGCGAGACTCTTCGGGCTTCTTGCGTGTTGGAGTTGAGGGAGACCAGGTAAGTTGGAGAGCAGAGGCTTTGGGGCATCCATCAGGCTTATGTTGGAGAAGACTGCAGCTGCTTGTGGGTCTTGCTTGACAGAGATAACTCCAACTGCCGTGGATTGGATCGCCCGCTATCTTTGGAGACTGACTCGTAATCAGACACCCCCTTGGCTCTCTACGACCCTGCGACCCTGCAACCCAACGCCCTTATCTAACGGAATTAGCCTTTGGAGTCTATGTAATGTCGAGGGTGTTAATGATCATCATTCGCTTGAGACAGACAGGTCGGCCTTCCCTGCTTTATTCCGAAGTCGTAACCGTAACATTGAGTTATTCGGAAGTTGTTTGCTCTCCCCGCAGTATCCACCAAATACGTGTTTGTGGACCAAGAGACATTGAACTGGTCCGAATGCTGATTCAACCATCGAGACTGCTGTCAAGCCTACATCTATAATCAGAGCAGAGCTGGATTTGGAAATACATCAGACCTATGCGTCTCGAGACATAGTTACCAAACTCTCGTCATGTTCAAATTTCCTGGAGTTGCTTTCATTACTGGCGCAGGAGGGACTGGTGAGTCACAATTTACATGGCGCTGTGAAGCTCATGGTCGCGTCCTTCAAGCTCTAACTCGATTAATACCCAGGCATCGGTGCTGCAGTCGCAAAGGGGTTCGCGCGATCAGGATGTTCAAGAATTGCCATCACAGACCTTAATCAAAAGTCACTCGCAGATACGAGAGATGCCATTTTACAAATCAATCCAGAGGCACAGGTATTTAGCCAAGAAGGCGACATCTCGAACGAAGGTTTTGTCAATTCATTCGTTGGAGATATTGCCAAGAAGTTCTTACGCATCGACTACTCAGTAAGCTGCGCCGGCATCCTGGGCCAGTCACTGCGGTCACACGAAACGTCAACAGCCGATTTCGATCTCATTACCAATGTCAACTACAAGGGTAGTTGGTTGGCATCTCGGGCGGTCTTGAGCCAAATGCTCAGACAGCAACCCCATGAAGAGCATCCAGAACAACGCGGCGCCATCGTCAATATTGCGAGTCAACTCGGCATTGTGGCGCGACCGGCTGCAGGTACGTTTAGCCGCTCCTTGAGGTAATAGGTTGTGTCGCACGATTACTCACATAATGCTTTTGTGTCAGCACCGTACTGCGCGTCCAAAGCCGCCATCATCAATATGACGAGGTCAGATGCCATTGACTATTCGCAAGACAAGATCAGAGTCAACTGCGTCTGCCCGGGGGTCATCGCCACGCCAATGACAACAGCGTCAGAAGAGTTGGTACAACGACTGAGGCCCGCAATCGACATTGCGCCGATGAAGCGTATGGGTACACCGGAGGAGGTGGCTAACGCAGTAATGTTCCTGTGCTCGAGCCAAGCCAGCTTCATCCAAGGCCATGCTCTGGTCGTCGACGGAGGCTACACCATCAACTGAGAATTGATAATGGCAACTCAAATTTCATCGGATACGGTCACACCCGTACTACTTCGTGGTAACACTTTCCACAATCGTGACTGTGAAATGCTGATAGGACCTTTTCCTATTTGAATAGTCGAGGCTCTAACGCAGGTACAGAAGAAGCCGCATAGCCGGCACAGCCGACCTTTGTTAGATTTCATACCAAAGTGTTGACTTTTGTTACGATCTGAGTCCCTTTGACAGCACGCTACCCAGTCATCCTACCATTGACGACAAGATCCTCGGACTGAAGATAGGTCTGGCCCTTGGAGTCTCGCCTCACAACCTGTATCGTTCGATGAGATACACCTTGATCGTCCATTTGCAAACTGTCAGGCCTCATTTGAGATTCCGTCCACAGGTCCGTCACCCTCATCTCCCCGGGAGGCTGCACAAACGATGGTGAAGACACGGGCCGCCCACTGATATCCAATTTGATGTCGTGCTCGAGCTCAATGATTTTCCTTGCAGCCGCGACTAGGACGTCTGCTTCCCAAAGATTTTCCCGCGGGAGACCCAACACTGGCATCAGCCGTAGGAACTCCAGTCGCGTTTCTAGATCACGACAAGATGAGACGAGAAAGAAAAGCATGGCGCCGAAGCCAGCTTCGAAGATGAAGTGTGGATGTTTTGAAGTGTTGAAACGTAAAGGATCTGGAACCTCGGCTTCCAGCCAGAGAAGCCGCTTTAAGATTCTTCGGAAGTTGGTGATGTATCTATCGTAGCCGGCTTCGCTTGTATCGAATGCCATGTTGAGCCATATGCAACAGCACTCATAGCGAGTCAAGAGAAAGCATTGCAGCATCTTTGGCCTATCTGAGTCTGACCGGCTGATGATTTGATTGTTCTGTGTAGGTGCTTCCTTGGGTTTGATAGCCATGAAGTCATTGTAAAGCTTGAACCACTGGTCTAGGAGACCGTTGATGGCAGCATGCTCAGAGAGAAGACTCGGGGGCGGTGTCCCGGTATCATCGGGTCCAGGCGATTTTGAAGCGGCTCGTTGTGAATTGCGCTGTGAGCGCATGAACTCTGCTGTTCGATTGAAGAGGACATCGAGCATGAGCTGTGCGTCTGAGAAAGTGAGAAAGAACTGCGGCATGGGTCCCTCTAGGGCCCTTATGTCAGGGAAATCCGACTCTTCTTCACCGAAGAAAAGAGCGAACTCGCTAAGCCGCCGAAATATCGGTAGGAGGTGCTCCATGGTCCACGAGAACATGTAGTCGGGAGAGATACTCTTCAGTATCTCGACACCATGTCTGCTGTGCTGCAGTGCTGCTTTTCTGTTGACGCGCATGATCTCCACGCAGATGAAGAGAACGCAAACAAGCAAGATTATGGGCTGCTTTTCTTGAGAGTCCATGACTCTCAACTCGTGAATAGCGGCATTGTAGTGGTGTAGGGCCAAATTTTGATTACTGTGCCGTACGGTGGCAGTAGCCTCAAAATTGCCCTGAGCCTCTTCATAGAGACTGCTGATGGAAATGACGGCGTGTCTGACGGCCGGCTCGAAGTTACTGAACTGCATCACGACATGTGTCCAGAAATAGGGATCCACGGCTCCTGACATGACTGGTCCCGCTATCTCGCAGAAGTACTGTAGAGCTCGACCTTCGCTGACCTTGGTGACTCCCGGGAAGACTTGATTTGGCTGGTGTAGGGATACGGTTCCTTGACGAGCGGGTCTGTAGCCATCGCAGCGTCTGCCTGTACTGGTGCAGCGATTGCATATCGGCTTAGCCTCGTCGCACTTGACTTTGCGGGCTCTAAAGACCGTCAATTAGCTGCTGATCAGATGGAGACATATGGACCCCGTAAGTGCGGCACAGCCTGGATGGCTGACAGCCTGACACGCCTAGTAGACTTACTTGCAGGTGATGCATCCAGTCCGAACTTTGGGGCTTCCTTTGCGGACCATGTTTCTGTCTCGGATGTGTGCACAAGTTGGCAGGCCTTTACCGTCTGTTTCCTGACGCAGTAAGCCGCCAGGAGCAGCTTTGGGAAGGGTGTTGGGCTGTGCTTGTCCACTCGTCAGCTGGGAGAATTTGGCGACTGTTCGGCGGTGGAGATGGAATGAAGTGAATCATTCCGGAAGCGCTCATTCAAACGATGGCCGGGCGGAGAGCTATCTGTGTGACCAAACATGTCCCGTTTGCTGGGGTTCTTGTGGGGAGACAGGGATAGAAGCGAGCCGACCAATGTCAGTCCTGCGTTTGATCAATACTTGTCTTTCTAACATTAGCGAGGCACAGCATGAGCCCTCTCGCCGCGGTGACCGAGCGGCAAGGTGTCTTTGGTTACGACCATACGGGTAGTGCCGTTGGTGGTGCGGGGAAGTGAAATTGAGGTGTTCTGGCGGGCAAGCCAAGTCGGGTCTACCCTTTGTTGGGAAGAGTTGAGCCGCAAGCGTTCATTCCCAAAGTGCTTGACCGAGCCTTGTGTATCAACTGCGGAATTGCTGGGGAACCAGGCGACACGTGGTGGACCAAGCAAATACCTAGAGCCAAGAGAGAGCGAGTGTCTCCATGTGCCAGTATCACTGTGTGTGTGGCATAAGGTATTAGGCAATTAGGTCCTTGAGGCCGAGGCTTAGCTCGAGATGGTGTGAGAGATCCCGACAACTTCCTTCTACTTTATGCTAGATACCTTGAAGCTATAGACATCAGACCCCTTGCGCCACAGGCTCCAAACCCAGATAGTTTGCTCTGAATGCAGCCCTTTCGACTCGGTCTCGTAAGGCTCTCAAACGGCCAACTTCACACGCTTAAGACTTGGTGAAGTTGTGCCGTTAACCTCAGGCATCGTCCTGCCATTGACTTTGACATTTGAGCCCGTTGAGAGAGTATCCGGAACAGATTCAGGAGCTTCGGGGGTGCTCGTGACGCTCTTCCAGTCGAAGTTGGTCTCCCATGCATGTGCAATGGTGAGGATCTTCTTCTCTTGCCATAGCCCTCCGACAATTTGCATGCCAACCGGAAGTAAGACCTGCGCGTCATCTTTAGCGGCAATAAATCCCACGGGTATTGACATTGCTGGATGTCCAGTAACGTTGAATACGGCGGTGTTGGTGGTCAGTCCTATGGTGGGTTCAAATGAACCCAGCACAGAATCTCGAGGCCCATGTCGTGGTGCCACAAAAGGAGTCGTTGGCATGATTATCGCATCGTACGTTTGAAACTTGCTCTGATAGGCGTCGCTGATTTGCCGACCGATGTTGACTGTTTTGCTGTAGAGACCCGGGAACTTGTCCGAAAGATACAAGCCGTTGATGAAGGTATTCTTTGTGGAGGGGAAAAGCTTTTGAAAGCTCGAATCCACCCAGGGCAGTCGTGCCTTTTCAAACTCAGTCAGGCCAAGACCTCTGTGTCCCGAAGCTCTCCCCAGCATACCCGACGAGCCCGCAATACGTTGTTGTATTGTCCATATTGAAGGGCCTTCCAGATGAAGAGGGACGGATACATGCTCGACAATTGCCCCTAGAGACTCCAGTCTCCGGGCGGCCGAAAGGACGTGGTCTTTGACTTTGGGGTCGACAATTTCTTGATCGAAGCCCTCCCTCAGAAGGCCAATTTTGATTCCGTCCAAACGACCGGAGCTCGCTGACAGAGCAGCAGAGAAGTTGTAGGAGCCATGAGCCGCAGCGCCTAGAGACTTATCGTCGATGCCGTCGTATCCGGAGATCACATCAAGACACTCAGCAGCTTCAGTGACCGAACGGCAAATGGGCCCTGCATGGTCATCAATAGCATCGCCGCTAGTAATTCCCGTGAAAGGCACCAGACCGTGAGTCGGCTTCACACCGACGCAGCCGCAAAATGAAGCTGGAACCCGGATGCTGCCGCCTTGATCTGTGCCTAGCGCGATATCGATCTTTCCGGAACAAACAAGGGCGGCACCCCCAGAGGTGCTGCCACCGGTGGAGTAGCCTTCCTTATAGGGATTCTCGATTGTGCCTTGCGCGCTGGTGAAAGATGCTGTGGAGTTGCAAAAGTGCTCACATGTAGCCGTCCCCAGAATATCGGCTCCGGCATCCAAAACTCGTGTCACCACTGTGGCATCCGTCGATGGCGTCCAAGGAGGAAAAGCATCGCTCCCGAAGAATTGTGGAACGCCTGCTACGGCAATGCAATCCTTCAAGCATACAGTCTTTCCTTTCAGGCATACCTGAGACGGGCCAGAAGCTGACTTATCTCCCCTAATCAAGAAACGATGTGCCCACGCATGCCCAAACTCTTGCTCCTCTGCTGTGGGTATATGTACATTCTCTCGGGGGTATCGTTTCGTGTCGGGGGCCGGTTGGTAGTCTGGGAGACTATCGATACGGGTAGCGCAATCGTGCACCGCAGCGAGCAGTCGCTGGTAGTCGGCCGACTCCTCAGCCTTGATCGTCAAACCGAGTGGCTCGAGCAGCTTCTCGACGTCGCCTTTCTGCACGGGGTTCTCCCTATGGCGTACCTGTCAGCATTCAGGCCGCATCAGGTAGGATGGGATTGGTCCTTACGTGGAGATGTCCTTGAAGAAAACAGACATGATGGGAGGTGGCAATCGTCGACGGTGTTCTGTTGGATCGCTGGTCACCGATGCGTTTCGATTGATTGTAGTGACGACTGATTAGCCAGCATGCTGTTCATAAAGGCTCGAAAGTAACATCCATGCTGAACCCACGAGAAATTGTCGGGGGCTCTTCCGCGGGCCATTGGGTCAATCTGTGGCGAAGGCGGGTTTCCGATGACACACAGAATGAAGTCGACATCAACGAACGTGATGGCAATATCCGTAGAATGCCCCCGCTACTCTGTGCCTCCAAGCCCCAGTAACACAAACCTACTGTGGCACGAGAGATTGTGGAGGGAGGGGCACAATGGCATTGGGGTAATACCAAGATTGAGTAAAGAGAATTTGGAGACAACGTCTAACGACCCCAACTCCACCACTAGTGAATGCGGATGACCCTAATGAGCGCTGGTACAACTCAGTGTCCGCAAAGCGGTTACAAGAAAGATAGAATTGGAGTCAGATAGAAATTAGCCTTGAACTCCATCACGATAGATTGAGTCAATTAACCGGTCGCCATGCTAGTAGAAAAATCGCGTGACCTTTCATCATTGTAACTCTCACGCTGACCCTGACCAGATTGTGGAGGGCCGTATGCTGTCTGTTCGAAAAAGCAGGAAACAACTAATTGTAATGCACAAAACACAAGACAACGTTCGATATTGCTAACATACTCAGTTAATAGGGTATCCTTACTCCGAAATGCGCACCACAAGCCTGCCTTTAAATCCGCTATCCTGATAAGCCACTACAATGCCCGGGATCTCGTCAAACGACATCAGAGTGATGTGAGACCTAATGCTGGCTCTCTCCACAGCCTCCATCATCCTTTCGGTGGATTCTCTACCCGCAACATAACTCCCCCGAATCGTGAGCTCTCTGAAAACGATGACACTAGAGTCAAACCTCCAATTCTCAGCAGGCAAGCCCAGGACTCCCATGACCCCTCCAATTCGTAGGATCGTCAATGCCCAACTGTTGGCTGATAGTGAGTCTGTGCAAACCACAACTGCGGCTACGCCCTCCCCGTTCGTAAAGTCCAAGATTTGAGAAGTCGCACGTTCCGAGCCAGAATCCACCACCAGCACCGGCTTGAGACTTTCATTGAACATTTCAGTAGCAAGCTGCCTCCCCGCCGGACGGCTGTCGACCGCTATGGCGCGGAAACCCATGGCGCTGGCAAATTGTAATCCGAGATGACCCAAACCTCCGATGCCGACAATAGCTACAGTTTCTCCTGCTTCCAGCTCACTTGTTGCTTTTTCGAGTGAGCCCCAAACTGTAGCACCTGCACACATCAATGGCGCCGCTTGCTCGAAAGATAGGGTCGGCGGTAAGCCGACAGTGGTCTCCGGATCTATGGCAAGATATTCCGCGAAAGCCCCATCATGATGAAAACCAGCGGTCTCTCTCTTTTCGCAGAATCTTGGGTCCAGAGTATGCTTCCTGCTAGTGCGAAGTGACAGACCGCAGCCACTGCATTTGCCGCATGAGTTCTTGTAGTTGAGAGCCCCAACTCTATCACCGACCTTCCATTTCTGATTGCAGTCTTTACCAACCTGAACCACGATACCGGCAGGTTCATGAGATGCGATCATGCCCAATGGTGACTTAAATTGTCCCTGTAAAACTTGTAGATCCGAGTGGCAGAATCCGGCCGCATGAACTCTGATAAGTAGCTCATTGCTGCGAATGGCCGGAGTTTCTCTCTCCACTAGCTCATATGGGTTGTTGTACTAATGGTTTGATTAACTTTTCCTGAACTATCTCCTGGAGCATAATGCATCATGAGAACCGACTTCCTTTATCTGAGCTGCTCGCATCACCGGAGGAATGATGGGGTTTGCCATGATTTCCAAAAGAGAGCAGTTGAGGTTTGCCAAGGGCTTAGAACACGGACTGCGGTGCAGATCAAATTTGCTGTTCTTGATGTTTACTTGGTGCAAAAAATGAGGCCGTTGAGGTTGGAATATGGAGTTGAATTAGAACTTCAGACAATGGAGGGCTCGATCAAATTCTATTCTAGATGGGCTTATTCCACGGGTGACCAAGCTCCTGAAGGTTTCAAGTTGAAGAGTTGTCGATGGTTGTTGGCCGTTATCATCCGACTTAAAGAGGGGTCAAGTCGAGTCGTTGGAGCAACTCGAGCACCTCCCAGTTCGCCTCCAAATCTGTCGACCACGCCACGAATCCACCCTCTATTACACAAAAACTTTGGGTCTCCAACAGGACCATATTACGGCAGGTCCGCGACCGGATGGAGTCCTTCGCCCCTCTTAGACAATACCCCTCCTTTTTCAATACCACAGCTATGTAAAAGGACAGGATACAAGTGATCGGTGAAATAATGTGGATGGAGTGGTC